GATAAAAAATAAAATAATTAAATAAAAAAAAATATTATTTGTTTTTTTTTTTCATTGTTATTTGAGGTTTGACAGCCGTATATTATATATTTAAACAAACGTTTGTTTACAGAGAAAAAAAAAATCTGGAGTATTTAATGTACGGCTATATATATTAGGTTAGGGTTAAAAATATAAATTTTTTTTTTTTTTTAATTTTTAATTTTTTTTATTTTCATTCTATTTTGTTAAAAAAAAAAATTAAAAACAATTAAAAACTGATATAACTGAATTATTAATTTAATTATATAAATATATAGATAAATTGTAATTAGGCAAATTTAACCGTGTTAGTAGCTCATTGAATGACTAGAAAAAAAAAAAAAAAAAAAAAAGAAGGGCCAAAAAAAAATGTACGCCGCTTTGAAAAAAAAAAAAAAAAAAAAAAAAAGTCTTTCACTACCATCTTCTTCCTCCCCCGCATTTCTTTAACCTCAAATGACAATGACAACAACAACAACAACAACAATTGGCTATTTGATTTTTAATTTTTAATTTTTAGTTATTTAAAAAGAAAAAAATAGCAGCTAAATTTATTTAATAATTAATTAAAAAAAAATTTTATTTTTTTTTATTTTTAAAAATACACACGTTATATATATATATATATCAAGCAAATTTCCTAAATAATTAAAATGAATTGACCATGTGAACATTTCTCATTCAATATTAACAAAATGGGCTATATTTCAATAATTATTATTTTACAGCGCTTGTAAAAAAAAAAAAAACAAAAAAATAAAATAAATAACAAAGAATTTATCTCCTGTTTCGATTTATATGGGGAGGAAAAGTGGCTTCTTTTACTATGTCACAGATACAAAAAAAAAAAAAAAAATTAAAACTAACTAACCAAATAAATAAATAATCTGAAAAAAAACATGTGGGTTGAAAAAAAAAAAAATCAAAATATATCGATATATTAAACTTATATAAACCACACAAAATCTTTCAAAAAAATTTTTTTTTTTAAGAATTATTTTTTTCAATTCTTCAATTATTTTTTTTTTTTTTTTTCAATTCTTCACTTCAACACAATGACCACCATCTTTTTTACATCAATTGTCGCTCTTTTTCTTGTATTGACAACTTCTGTGGTTGCACTTCCACAAGACAGCAGCGGTTACTATCTCAGTCTTTTAGGTCTTGATGCTGCCGGCTACTCAAAATATACAGCATATCTTGCAACTCTTACTATAACAACCCCAGTTGCCCTCGAGTCTTGGATTTCAAAGTATTCAGGTGAAACAATCACCGATTATAATGAAGCCCTATCAGCCTATAGTGATTTCCCCTTTTCTGCTTACTCAAACTTTTTTACTCAACTCTATCCTACTTCAATCTTTACAGACATGATCTATTCAAACCCTTATGCCTCGTTCTATAGCGGTTATCTTGCTTCACAAACTTCACCTGGAGCTCCAACTGCTGAAGCAACACCAACAGTCACAGTCTTATCAAATACTGTGGCTTCTACTCAGGTCACTCCCACTGAAATTTCTGTGTCACCAAGTGAAACGCCTATAAACACTCTGTCTGATTCTTCAGCTTCTAATACACCTTCTGTTACCCCTACAGTAACCTCTGCTGCTTCTTCAGTTGCTTCTTCAGTTGCTTCTTCAGTTGCTTCTGCTGCTTCTTCTGTTGCTTCTTCTGTTGCTTCTGCTGCTTCTTCTGTTGCTTCTGCTGCTTCTTCTGTTGCTTCTGCTGCTACCTCAAAAGCTAGTGGCTCGTCTAAGTCGGAGTCAAAATCTTCTTCTTTTTCTTCTGTAGCTTCCGCCGCTTCCACTCCGGCCTCTTCAGGATCATCTACTACTGAGTCTTCTAGTGCTAGTTCTACAGCATCTAGCAATGGTGTAGATTCAAGAATGGATTCTTTTTCTAATTTTATCTTGATAACAATGGGTATTATCGCAATGGCTCTAGTTTATTAATTAATTGTATACCCTTTTTTATATATATATATATATTTTCTACTAATATTTATTTCTGGTAATTTCGTAATATTTATAATTTATAGTTGATATAATTGATGAATGGATTGTCGATGTTTTTCAGTGGTTATACTCAGGTTAAAAAAAAAATAACAAATTGAATAAAAAAACTTCTTTGACAACCGAGGGATTCGAACCCTCGCCTCCGAAGAGATAGGAACCTTAATCCTACGCCTTAGACCAACTCGGCCAGATTGCCACGTGATTGAAAAGTTTAACTAAAGTGAAAACCTCAAATTACATGATAAAAAAAACAACAAAAATATAAGTCCTAGAGATTTTTTTAAAGATTTATGACACTCTGTTTGTCATTTGCTGATATTTGGACAAAATTTTGTGCTGTTGGAGATGGAATGTTGAAGTCAAATTAAAAGTATATTAAAAAAATCGAAAAAATATAGTAAGAACAAAAAGGATAGTACAGATGCTGAAGTTATATATATAATTCTATAACCTTTGAATAAAAAAAAAAAAAAAAAAAAAACATATCTTTCAAAGAGTAAAAACAAATACACGATTTTTTAAAGATTCAAAAATTTTTTTTTTCTTGTGTTTTAAATGATTAAGTTTTATTTTTATTTTATTTTATTTTATTTTATTTTTGTTTTTTTTTTTTTTTTTGCAAAAAAATACAATAAATGCAAAAAAATAAAATTGTAAATTTTAAATTTTGGTACTTTTTAAGATACCTACTGATCTATGTAAAAAAAAATAAAAATAAACATATGAAAACCTAACCCTTGTTTTTGGAATCAATATTTAATAAATATTTAACTTTGATTTCAATTTTATAAATTTGAAACTAAAAATTATAGTAAAAATGTTTTTTTTTCTTTTTTTTTTGTTTTGTAAACTTAAACTTACTTACATTAAAGTAATTTTAAAAAAAAAAAAAAAAGAACCCACCACAATTGGGCTTCGTATAAAACCTATCAAAGATTAGTAAATTTTCAATTTTCCCTAACGTTCATTAAAATATACCATTAAAACAACAAGAATATTCTTGTTTTTTTTTTTTTTGGCTCAAGGGAATATTTTTTTTTTCCCATTTACCTGTTGCAGTGTATTTGATTTCCAAATCTACACAATTAGTCTCTATCGGCAACCACACCTTTTCCAATCCGCCTTTTCATACTGCACAATATTTAAAAAATTTTACTTGAGTTGCAATGAAGAAGAAAGTTTTTTTAATGATAAAATAACAAAAAAAAAAAAAAAAGAAAAAAAAAAGTGGGCATGTTTTTTTTATTACTTGGAAAATAAAAATCCTGGTCATCTTGAACCATAATAATTTATAAATATACTATTGATAATTATCAATATAAAATAAACGTACCTAGATGGATTTTTGTGTTAAAATAGTTCACTTTTTAGACCCCTTTTCACAGCCGTATTAATTTGATTCTGTAAATAAGCATTATTTACATCTGCCCACCTACCTACTTACTTGTCACAGACCCGTCATGTTTTTTTTTATTTTTTATTTATTTTTTCTACTAGAAAATGGCATCATCCAGTTCAATGCAATTCAATTTTAATTTTAATATCCTCAAAGTTATTTGTATTTTTTTTTATAATCAATATACTTGAACTTAAATAGTAATAAGTAATTATTACCACAAATTTTTTTTTTTTACTTTTTATTCTCACCATAAGCTTTGGTTCCGTAGTGCCCGTCAATAACAATAATATCCTGGGGTCTATAGTCAAACTTGCCAGAAAGGTACGATTCCAAAATGTTTTTGACACCATTTGCATACCGCTGTTGAGCATCGAGTGATGTGCCCGACATATGCGGAACCATAGCATTGCCAGCACCATACTTATTAGTCATGGTACGCCAAGGATGGTTGGCAGGTGCAGGCTGAGGGAACCACACATCACCACCATAGCCGCGCAACTGCCCAGACTTCAATGCCTCCACCACATCTTCCTGAACACAAATAGCACCACGAGCTGTATTTACCAACCAAGCTCCACGCTTCATCTTGCTCAAAAGATTCTTATTGAAAAGTCCCTTAGTTGACTCGTAGAGAGGAGTATTAATTGTCACAATGTCAGCTTGTCCAAGCAATTCTTCAAGACTCTCAACACGGCGACATCCAATTTCCTTTTCTCGGTCAGCAGAAAGCGGCTGGTAATCATAGTACAAAAGTTCCTTGGGGTTAAAAGGTTTAAGGCGTTCCAAAATACGAGAGCCAATGCGACCAACTCCAACTGTGGCAATCACCTTGCCTTCAATGTCATAAGAGTCCTTGGCAACTGCCGCAACATCCCATTCACCATTGCGGACTTGATCATGGGCAGGTACAAAGTTACGAACAAGAACAAGCATTGTCATAACAGCATGCTCAGCAACTGACGTGACATTAGAACCAGTAACTTCCAAAACAGCAATTTTAAGTTCGTTAGCAGTATCCAAATCCAAGTGATCAGAGCCAACACCAGCAGTAACACAAAGCTTAAGTTTTTTAGCCTTGAGAAGACGTTCACGAGTCAAGTAAGCAGGATGGAAAGGAGTGGTGATAACAATCTCTGCATCTTCAAGAAGACTTTCAAACTCAGGTCCATCCTTCTTGTCAGTGGTAATCAATGTGTGACCCTTAGACTCAAGCCAAGAACGAATTCCAAGTTCATTTTCAGTGCATCCATGCAATTTGGGCTCATCAATAGCATGTGAGCCAGCAGAGTAAAGAACGAGAAGAATCTTGACCATTTTTAATTGTTGTTAAATAAAATTGATTGTTGAAAACTTTTGAAAAGTATAAAATTGTTAATTAAAGAAAAAAAAAAAAGTAAAATTGTGATGATGAGAAATAAAAAAAAAATTCCAATTTAATGAGAACTTTACCTTGATATTTATACTTGAATTGATCCAACTATTCATTCCATCGTTTCTCCCCGCATATGTATCTGACATCTAGGTAGTCGCTTTATTGGTAAAAGGATTCAATTCTAAAAAAAAAAAAAATACTTCATGATTTTGGCTAAGCCGCATGACCATTACGGATCAGAAGCCTTCCATTTTCCTATTTGTTTAAAACGTGCGGGGATCAACCAAAAAAAAGGTCTATTCTTTAACAATAGCAATCTTCATTCATACGAGCGATTTTACTTAAAAAAATAAATTAAAATTAAAAGAACTAGAAAATTTATATTTCTCAGTTGATTTTTCCCCACTTTAGGCCCCCTTTTTTTTTTTTTTTTTTCCTTTCTCCCTTATGTCTTTCTGTTCCTGTTGGTGTTGGTGTTGGTGTTGGTCGCGGCATCCGGATTACAGAAAATCTGGGGAAATTAGTTCCATCTCGTGCGGCTCAGGGGGGTGTATGAGGGAGAGGGAAAAAAAAGGTACTGAGCTTAAAATCAAAATGTTTAAATTTTAAAATAAAATAAAATAAAATAAAGTAAGAATTGGGGTTTCTGAGTGTTTTTAGAATGAAAAATAAAATATAAAAAAAAATTGAAAATAATTTCCCCACTTTCAAAACCTGGTGACGTAAATTTTAAACCTAGATAGTTGAGCCGCAAAGGACTCGGTAGACTTGTGCGGAAAAACTCATTATAATTATTACCTCCATGGCTGTTAGAAGCTTTAAAATATATTCATCTTAGTACTTTAACTCATTTTTTGGTATCATCCAACATTACACTCTTTGTTTTACGTTTGTATACGATCATATTCGAAAGTGTACTTAAGCATCAATCGTCTGTAAATGATCACCAACCTTATTCCGACTTTTCCATATTTATTTTTAATTGACTTTAGTTCATAGAAAAAAGCTTAATTTTCTTATAGTGAGTCTTAAAAGATTTGCTTCTAACAGAAAGATTCCGAGAGTTTAATAATATCAACGTTGACGTTAACGTTTTAATTTTTCAATAAAAAAAATAAATTGTAAAAAAAATACATGCGCTAGCCCGGACTCGAACCGGGGACTTGACAATGGGAACGTCAAATTTTACCCCTAAACTACTAGTGCTGCGCAAAAAATAATAAAGAATTTATATTTAAACTGAAATTTTAAAAAGTAGCCAAAATTTAAAATAATTTGATTCTTGAAATTATAACCATTGAATAAAAACAAACAAACAAACAAAATAATATTTTTATTTTTACAAGTGATAAATTAATAACAAAAATAGTTAATAACCAAGTTTTAAGAATATTGTCATGACGATTAATGTAAACATTATTTTTTTTATTAAATTATTGAACTTCGCACCCTGTGTCATCTTTGTTAATAATATAACTTTTTTTTCAATTATTTCTAAGTTTTAATTCAAAAATTGTTAAACTGGAACTGTTAAACAAAATATATCAGGATTGAAACTATGTGAAGATACGTGGCTATATTTATTTTTAAATGACCCCGTGACACATCCCTAAAATTCGTTGAAAGCTCCGCCGGCGGTTAGGGTTTGGCTTTTGGAGAACCGAGTTTTTTGGAAAAACTTAAACGTGTCTAATCATAAACGTGTGAAGTCGGATTACCAGGAAGTCCCGCTTTCGGTCTTCCACAAAAACGTCACTAAATAATTATATTATTATTCTGTTTGTAAATTGATAACTAAATAATTCAGTTTCATCTTTTAAAGTCGGATCCATTTATCTTGAATGGTTTTACATCAAGTTTAAAATATATATATTTAATAAAGAAGAGTATCAATTGACAGCTGCATGTTAAATAAATTTTATTAATGGAAGGATTTATTTTTTACAAGTTAGTCTGAAAAGTGTTTAAAGTGGTGATACTTTCGAGATACTTTATAAAGTATCTAATAATTATTATTTTGTTCAAAACTAGGCTTTCTATCATATGAAATAAGTCGAAATCTTTATATCAAAAATCATCTCTGTTTCTGCAAAAAATAAAAAAAAAATGTTGCCTTGGAGCTACATGAACCAAATACTAACCAATTAGCTACAGGAAAAAAAAATTGAGCCTCAGCTACAACAAGTAGCTGAACACTGTTTGTCAATTATTTTGTCTAAATTATATATAAATGTTGCTTTCAACAATTATAAAAAAAATAAAAAAAATATATGCTTTTTTTTTAATTCTTTATATATCCATAAGATTAACTAAAGATGGTTCATTTAAAGCTAACTCTTATCTTACTCATTGCAGCTGTTTATGCAGCACCTACAACTAGCTTTGAAGATGCTACAAGCAATGATAGCAATAAACTTTCTACCGTGATTTCGACACCAGTTTCCACAAACACACTCAGTCAATATTCGGATGATTCAACTTATAAAACGTCTACTAAACCAACTACAACTTTGTCAACAAACTCATTTAAAATTTCTACAGTAACTACGAAAGAAGACAACTCAAATTCTAATTATTCCAATAATGTTGCTTTGACAAAAAAAACTAAAAGCTCTAGTATTAGCACAAGTGTTCCCTCCTCGGCTGAAAATTCCAGTGTTAATGATAGTGACAGCAGTATAATTTCTTACACTGACAGTGATGATGGTAGTGAGAGTGATGAAGGTAATGAGACTGACAACAGTAATGAAGATGGTGATGAAGATTCAGCAGAAAACTTATTGAATGTTGACGATGAGTTAAACGCTCTTGACCAAATAGGAACTAAAGCAGCAGACGCTTCGGTGTATACCAAGCTGAGAAACTATATGTTAACTGCTAGCATTACTACAATTCCTCCAGAACTTGTTTCTTGGGATTCACTTTATTCCAGTGCATTTTCAAATTCAAATATAAATAATAATAGTACTATTGTTATTTCAATTTTTGAAGAATTCCCGGTAAGCGCATATTCAGTTTATTTTGAACAAATTTATCCAACTTCTATTGTCGGTAGTTATTACGTTCGAAACCCCTTCTTAGAAAAATTAAAGGAATTAAATGTTACTATTTCAGATTCCCTACCTTCCCAAACTGCTTATAATACTTCTGTTTTGGTATCTACAACTCAAACTTCAAAATCATCTTCAACAAGTTCCAACTCTTCTAATTATGGGAACTCTATAAATAATCTTTCAGCTAGTTCAGCATTTTTATTTGCTATTTTTGGATTTGTTCTAATGTATTAAATGTTGTTATAGTATTTAGAAAAAAAAATTAGAATAGGGCTGTGAAAAAGTAAATTATTGTGGACATCTAATACTTGACTAACACGTAAATCCAATTTGATACGTTTAAATACAGTTTATATATTAACAATCTATAATAGTCTAATTATATATTAGTGTGTTTTAATATGACCTGGGTCTCTCTCTATTCTAATTTTTATCAATTTTGATACAACTTATAAGCCATAGTTTGGATTTCCACTTTCAGTTGTTGATTTTTTCAGGACATTTGACAGTAGTGAGATACTTTGAATAAAAAAGTAGCCAAGAAACAAAAAAACAAAAAAACAAAAAAAATTAATTTTGGGTTGTGGCAAGTTTAAGTTTCTTGGCACAAAAGTGGCAGACTGCAAATAATATTGTGAGTTCTATATTTTATGAAACACCTAACCCAGGAATTAATGGAAATGATTCAGGCGAGAAATAGCAACACCCATATCAAATGTTAACGTTTGAAAGTATATCTTGTAGAAAATGTCTGTTTTTCTGATCTTATGTACAAAAGTTTGAATTTATATATATAATTTTTTAATAAAATTAGACTCTATCAAACCTGCTAGTATAAAAGGTTTAGTTTTCTTTCAATACTGAAAGTTTTTTTTTTTCTATTGTACTTAATGTTGAGTTAACAGTAACTTTTAATTTTTTTTTTCAAGATAGCTTTGGTCATTTCAAAGAACTATATTTTTTTTTTATAATATTATTTTAGTTAACTAAATGATTTTTGGAAATGAGGCTTGAGAGGGTAAAATAATGTGTCGATTTAATTTTATTTGGTCCCAACTTTAACTCCGCGTAGCTAAGCTTTTTTTTTAGGCAAGAAAAAAAAATTATTCCTAAATGAAAAGTTTTTATAGTAATTATATATATTTTCTTACGTCATGATCATGATATGATAATCATGTTGTAGGCTAACTTCAAAAAAAAAAAAAATTGCTTTGATGGTGAATTAAATTTGGTAAATTGTCATTATAATAACGTCTCTATAGATTCAAACTCTTTGTTTCAAAGATCATCACAAAAATTTTACAGAGCATCATTTTTCTAGGCTTAATCTTAGGTGGACGTGTTGCAAACTAAAAAAATACATTTTAAGATTTAAAAAAAAAAACTCCTATTGTTCAATACTAGGACAATATTGAATAAGATACCAGAGTGACACTTGAATTTATATTAATCCATTTGAAGTTAATTTGCAATTTTTACAGATATTTTTTACTCATAAATTGTTAAGACTTCTGTTTATGTAAATTACAGTATTTGGTAAAAAAAAATTATTATTAAATTTTAACGGAAAAATCTAGTCTAACGGATAACGACCCGAACTCGGATACTGCGGCTATTATATAACAAACCTGCAACGGGAAAAATCGTAGAACAAATGGTTCACTTTCATTTATTTACACCAAAAGTTCAAGTCAAGTGTAAACGTCTCGACTTGAGCAAATAAATTTACACATGTAATCTTTACATATAGTTCTAGACTGGTCAATTCAGCATATCTCATGAGTCGTATTTACACAAATGCTATATTAAATTTCAGAAAATTTAAACGCTAGTAAAAAAAAATCATTTATTAGACATTTCGGATTTTATTCTGTCTGCACCTTAACCAAATCATTTCGTAAAAAAGGAGTCAATTTTTTTTCTCAATTAGCATCGCGTGATAGATTGCTGCCTTTGAAAATGCTAGAGAATGTCGTATAGTTTTTCTTCTATGGAGGGGTTTTCTTTGTCAAAATCTTTAGGAATAAGCAATAATTAAATTTATAAATTTAGGGTCTGGTTTGATAATGATCGAGAATGCTATTTTTTGAGTCTTAGTGGATTTTTAATCTTTGGATTGAAAGGTAGTGTCGGCAAAAGCAGCGTTTGTTAATGTGGAAGTGTAGACAGCGTTACTACCAAGGTTCGTGACAGGCGGTTTAGCGGAAGGTGAGGGATAAAAGTTAGTTGTTGATGTCATTAACTGTGTCTCGGATATTGGCATTGTTTATGCTGTTGCTTGATTCCATTAATTTTTTTTTTTTTTTGGTAGTATGGCAGACAGCTTGAATTTGTCTGGAGTGCTTCACAAGTCTCCTGATTACATATATGGCCATGCTACATGTTTGCATAGAGACGCCTATCTTTTTTTGTAGGTCAGCCATCTGGTCAGTAAAGAATTACTTCTCTGGCCTGTCAAATCAAAGATTCATAAAATCGGATATAGCTTTTTTGGATAAAGATATAAGGTTGGTTGATTCATGATATGGGCTGCACCAGATTCAACGTACATCTAGTGACCTAAGCTGCAGTTTATTTTTGAGACCAAAGCTCATTTCAGCTCACACCTGACTCATATCACCTTTCAATGCAAGATAATTATGAAAGAGAAATGATATCTATTTTTAGGTCGTTAACGGTAGCAAAAGCATGGAGTGCTCTGGCGATGTTTGTTGAAATCTGATTCACGTGTATTCGACTTTTTTTTGTCGTTAAATTTCACTCTTTTCAAAGAACTTTAAAGTATTGAGTTTATTGTCAAACAAAAAAATTACAAAATGTTGTCGGTACTTTGATAGATGTGAAATCTGTCAATTTTTTTCTTTTTTTACTTTAATAAACAGAACAATTTCAGGTAAATTTTTTTACGAATTTTCGTAATTTACAGTAAATGTTTTATTTTGTTGTTGAAAATTTTGCAGTTTGTTTTTTTACTCTTTTCACAATAATAAGACAAACTATACCCTAACCCAGTAAGTAAGCAAAAAAAATCATTTTCAGTTTCAGGATCATATCTTTGAAAACATATTAATTAAATTTGTTGTCAAAATAGTAAAAAAAATAAAAATAAAAAAGAGACTATTTTAACAATTTAGTTTAGAATTTAAGCAAATGGAGTCTGGAGCTTTGGACAGAACTAAACATTATTTTTCACAAGCTTCATAAAATTTAGGATTGCAAAAGAGGCTTCATTTGCTATCTGGTTTAGAAACACTCTCATAAATCATTGGTTTAATATTGGTTATTAATATCGATATTACTCTAAAGTTAACCAACTGGAAAGCAATGCTTATAATAAGAAAAAAAATAATAGGTATATTAGTTGCTAAGAAATATTTAACAGCAATTTACAATTATGTTATATTCTAATAATAAGCATAGATGTTTAAATGTAATTCTAAAAGAGGCTCAGAACATCCACATTTTTGTTATTTGAGCACCAGCCACCAAAATTGAAAATGAAAATGAAAATGAAAATGAAAATAAATATAAATATAAATATAAAAATAAAAATAAAAATAAAAATAAAAATAAAAATAAAAATGAGACTCCTGAAAAAAAAATATAGCACGTGTTCGCCCTATTTTTTATGATCAATTTTATCGAAGCCTTCATTAATTGCTCCCTAAATAATATTCTTTAAGCTGAATAGTTGCCGTATATTGAAAATTATTGATCCCTTCACTTTTCTCTATCAACACACACTTTAATATCATTAGTTAATTCTTCCAAGCAGAGGTAATAAAACGCTTAATTATATATTTTTTTCCAATGAAATCATACCAAGCACTTCATTTCCATTTTAATGACTCTCGCACTGCTATTTGAAAGGTACCGGTCTTCGATATAATGATAATTAATGGTTTTCTCCTAATAAACATGGCATTTTGATCAAAGACTTTGAAAAAAAAAATATGTATATGGTTTTTTTTTCTACCTATGACTGACCAGATTTATGACCGGAATTTTTTTTAAAAAAATTTTTTGCAATATATTGAATTATATTGATATCAGTAAAAATTCATTTCAATTATAGTCTTTAAGTCTACTTGTTATTGCTGACTTTAATTAAACAATAAAAAAAATTTAAAGAAATAGTTAGGGAATCTTGGGCTAAAATTTATGAGAACATCTAATGAACAAATGGGTGACCCATTGTAGAGAAATGATACCTTGAAAAATATCCTTTTAAGTGTGAACAAAGAAAAGAATCTTGGTCATCCTTTTATTTGAAAAAACAAATTTGTTTTTTTCTTGTATACAAATACATATTTTTATTTCACACTTCATCATTAGAAGATGCTAGGGGAAAAAAACGTGCTCGATTGACAAATGAAAAGACTAATGGAAAGCTTTAAGAAAATCCTCAACTATGGATTCTGGATTAATATATAAATAAGATGAAGTTTCTGTGCTTTTAACTCACTTCATTCTCTTTTCTATCATTATATTCAAACAATCTCTACTAAAGAAATCACAAATTCGATACCAACTTCAATAACAATCATAAATCTAAATCTAAATTTCAATTCAATCAAATTTAATCTAATTACCCATAATGATGAACCTTCAATCCACTTTTTTCCTCTTCGTGGCTATTGCAAATGCTGCTCCCCACCCTGTTGCCGTCAATGATTTCAACTTTGCGTCTCTTTTGGTCAAATACAATGACAATAACAATAATGTTAATCTTGGTCAGTACAGTTTTTTAGTAACTGAATCTTCTGACTACACTAAACTCATGTCTTACTACCAAACTGCTGATATTATAACACCCACTCAGATTCAATCCTGGTTGAGTGACTACTACGAGATTGCCACTGATCCTTATTTGGCTGATAACCCAACCGTTGTTAACTCCTTGTTAACTGCCTTCCCCACCCAGGAATACTATACTTTGATGAGCGAGCTTTTTCCTACTTCAATTGTAGGTTCTTATGATATTACTAGCATTCTTGAAAGTGCTTATGGTACTGGTACAGCCAATTATCCGTCCACCACGACTGTTGCTAAAGCTTCGCCAACCATCACTGGTACTAGTACTGGCGCTAACACTAGCACCCAAAAAACTGAAACCGTCACTTCTCAACAATCCACATCTGTAACTCAATTATCAGGAGCTGTAAATAACGGAGCTGAAATGAATGGCAAAACGCTTTCTGCTGCTGCAATTGCACTTTCTTTTCTTTTCAGCGTTGCTTTGATTATTTAAACATTGGCAATTGTTAATTGTTGATTGTTAATTGTCAATTGATTATAACAATTATTATTATTATATATATATATATATATATATAATTTCTTTTTGCCTTAATGGCCTTTTTATATAAGTTAGATCTAGTTTAATATAAATGATAATTTGAAAATGAAAAATCGAATGTGCCAGTAATAATAAGGTAATTACCTCATTAATGAATTGGAAAGAAGTGAAACTCCCCCTAACCCTAAACCCATGTTCTTGTGTAGAGTCAATTTGATTTTAACGTGATTGAACTTTTAACAGCCATGGCTACTTTCTATCTTTTCCTTTTCTTCTTTCTTACCCAGTCTTTTACAATTGATATAATAATAATGTCACGACTAACTTCAAATACTTTTTTATTAAAATACAAAAAATCAATTTTTTCAAATGGCTTTGAATCTTAGTTGTCTTTTTTTTTTCATTTTTTAATGTTACTATAGTAACTTTTTCTGTGAGCTTGTAACATTCATTTGTTTGTTACCGTTAAACATCTGAGAAAAAAGCCTTTAAAGCGCCCCCTCGGAAGGCTTAGCCGCTGCGCTCCATTCCCCATGTTGCGGCTTAGCCCCTAAATTTCAGTACCAAACAGACATCTCGAAATTTAGTTATAAAAAGGACCATCAAATCCAAACATATCTTTTCCTCTTAACAAAATCAATCCCAGCATTACATTCCACATTGCGAGCGTTTGGCAGATTCCTGTGTAGCAATCAACAAATCAATAAATATTTTTCATTATGTGAGTTAATTTTTTTTTTTTTTTTTTTTTTTTTTGAATAAAAGCCTTTTAAAAGTCAACTTTATTTTCGTCTCTTTTTTCTCCGCACTTTTATTTATTCATTAATTTTCATGGCTCTAACATGGGAACCTCTTTAGATCCAGATTCTCACGCCATTAATTTTTTTCGAATAGTTCTTTTTTCTTTTTTCTTCTTTACAATCATTATGACTTTTGGATTTCACATTCATCATCATCACGACCAGCAACAGCAGCAGCAGCAGCAGCAGCAACAACAACAACAACAATATCCTGGGAATACGCCATCTCAATACGGATCAGCCCCTCCATCATTTCCTAACCAACAATATCTTGGAACATCAGTAGCTCCTTATTCCAATACAAGTAACAACAGCGGTGCCCCATGTTCACCTGAGTATCGCTACGTGCTTTACTTTTGCAACTGGGCAATTTATGGACGCCATCATTTCCCTAAGGATGTTCCGGCGTCGCGGGTGTCACACATTTTGTACGCATTTGCCAATGTGGTTCCAGAAACTGGTGAAGTTGTATTGACAGATAAGTGGGCGGACCAAGAGATTGTATTAGATGGCGACTCGTGGCAAGATCCAGCCTCGTATCTTAAGGGATGCTTAAACCAATTTTACAAGATTAAAAAGCAGAACAGACGGCTTAAACTGATGTTGTCGATTGGCGGATGGACATATTCGCCCAAATTTGCTGGAGCAACAGAAACAGCAGAAAAACGCAGCAAGTTTGCAAAATCAGCAGTGGCGTTGCTCGCCGAGTTTGGCTTTGATGGACTTGACGTAGACTGGGAGTACCCAGCTGACACAACACAAGCCCAGAATTATGTGGAGCTTTTGCGGGTAATGCGGCTGGAGTTGGACTCATATGCACTTGAGATTGGTCTGCCGCGGGACCAATTTGAGTTGAGTGTAGCAGCACCTGCGGGCCCTGAGCAATACCAGCGGTACCGGCTAGCAGATATGGACCGGTATTTAACATTTTGGAACTTGATGACATATGACTTTGCTGGATCATGGAGTACCAAGGCTGACTACCAGAGTAATTTGTTTGCTGGAGATTTATCAACGGATGGAGCCGTCAAGTATTACCAAAAGGCAGGTGTTCCTAGTAACAAGATTGTAGTAGGAATGCCTGTGTATGGCCGCGCATTTACCAACACTGATGGTCTTGGGTCTACATTTAACGGGGTGGGTGAGGGCTCATGGGAACCCGGATCTTGGGATTACAAGGCTTTGCCGTTGGCCGGGGCTTCTGAGCACACAGATACGGGTCGTGTGGCTGCGTACTGCTACAATGCTACGGAGCGGACACTTGTGACGTATGACAATGCAGAAACAGCTAGAGCAAAGGCACGGTATGTGCAACAAAACAAGTTAGGTGGTGGCATGTGGTGGGAATCTAGTGCCGATGTACCGGATGTGACCAACAACCGGTCATTGGTTGGAGCATTTACCGGGGCACTTGGTGGGGTAAGTCAGATGGATAGTAAGGTGAATTGTTTATATTACCCTAGGAGTACACACGAGAATATCCGTGGGGAGAAACCTTTCTAGGAAAGGTAAATAAATTTATACATTTAACTAAGTTTATTTGAAATAGACTGAATTGGAAAAGGAAAGCTATTTACCAATTGTAGATATTAAATTTGATTGATGAGGATGTTTTTTTTTTTTTTTTTTTTCCTTTTTTTTGATTCTTTATTGAAATGAATTTAATATAAAATATTAGGAAAAATTGAAAAAAAAAATTAAAAATAAATTGATCCTAGTAAATGAATTTAAAAGAATAAAATCAAAGTTAGAATTGAATATATATATATATATTTTGAAAAAAACAAAAGTTCTTGTTTACGTTTTTGAAGATGATTTAGTTGTTGATTGAATCAATTAATTTTGATATCTATAATAGCTAAATGAGTCTTTTAATAACTTTTAAGTCTGGGTTAAGTTTTTTAAAAAAAATTTAAAATTAAACCTTAAGTTGCATATGTCTGTCGATCTTTTTTTTAGTTTTTTTTTTAGTTTTTTTTAGTTTTTTTTTTCCTCCGATCTGTCTAGTTTTTATATGAAAAGATTTGAATATTTAATAAAAGAAATTGCAACCATAAATTTAAGTTAATTCACTTTTTTTTTTTTTTTTTTTTTTTTTTTGAATAACCGATTTAATGTACATTATCATAACATGTTATGATATATCTAAACTAATTAGTTATAAATAATAAAACAAAATAAAGAAATAAAAAAAAAAAAACGAATACGAATTGCGCAGTTTCAATTTATTAATTCATATAAACATTTGACTTAATAAACTTATATACAGACAACTAAATCTTTTTCAGGAATAGATTGTTTTTTTTTTTTTTTTTTTTTTTTTTCTTTCCTCCTTTAAAATCTCCACCCCACACCCCTCCCCATGTATTTTTGTTTGAACCTCAGGTTTTAATGATGGTGGGCATTCAAACAAAGGAGTGCATACATCATTTCATGTTTGTATTCTGCAACAAAACAGATATCTGGGGTATTTCTAGAAATACCCCAAATCTGAATCTGACATTAAAAAAAAAAAAAAAAAAAATCATTAGACAGATTAAAAAAAAATCATTAGACAGATTAAAAAAATTCATTAGACGGATTAAAAAAATACAAGTACAAAAAAAAAAAAAAATACAAATACAAATACAAATATAAAAGTTGATTCAATGCAATGAGAGAGATCGGGGGAAAAAAAAGAATCGTTTTCTTATTTTTTTGTTTGTTTGTTTTTGTTTTAAAGCTTTAAACTTGCTCAGAAACAAGGAAAAAGCTGTTATCAGTAGCAACAGAGGCAGAAGAAGGTACCGAGCCTGAAGGTGGTGAAATGTTCCCAGCTTGTGTACTCTTAAGGCGGCCAACAAACTGACGAATAGCTCTGCTGATGGTTACGCTTTTGGCCCGTCCAATATATTCTGCGCTTGTAATCGATGATGGTGATGATGATGATAATGATGATAAGCTGTTGTCTTCTTGTACACAATATGCTTCATCAGAAAGGCTTTCATTGCGCGCTCCACCCCGCTTGGTTCCAGCAACAATGCTTGTGCTGCTGCTGCTTTTGCTGTCTTGTCCAATACGGCGGTAGTCGTCTGCAACTTCACCTCTAATTCCCAGCCATCCTCTATTACGTGGAGGAATGACTGGTCGCGTACCACTACTAAAGGGCACTGTATTACTACCCTCCAAAAAGCAATCCTCCTCCTCTTCTTCTTCTTCTTCTTCCTCTTCTTCTTCTTCTTCTGCCCCTATATCCGAGTCTGAATCAGAATCGTAAGCCACTCGTCGTTCAGGGGCAATCCGGGACAATACTTTGCGTTGCCATATAGCATCTTGTTGCTTTTGTTTAAGAGTTAATTGTGAAGAATCCATGTTAGAATCTTCACCCACTACCAGCTGGGGATCAATTGCGAAAACTGCTCCAGCAAAAGGACCCGATATGTATTGAGGATTATGACGCGTCAAGTCGCTATTACGCGAAGCAAGTGCTTGGGAAGCAAAAGCCAAGTCTGGATCTGCTTCTCCAGAGGATGGAGATCGTTGTTCGATAATATCTAGATAACTGTTATTGTTTGCGTCTGATTGTTGAAGGCAGCCATAAGATCTAGCAGTCTTGTTGTTGTGATTTTTGCCATTGTTAGCACCATGTGAGGCAGTGCGGGTGACAGGTCCACCATCTTCGTCATTCCCACTAGTGTTATTTTTATTTTTATGCGCCTTTACACCAATTCCTCGACTATCAGTTGTCAAAATACTCTTCTTGGGAACAATGCACTGATGCAGAGTCATAATCTGGGCACCAGTATTAGCAGCCCCATCATCATCGTCATCATCCGGACAACATCCACCAACCATGACTGTGGGGGGTCCTGTAGTAGTATCGGAAGTCATATCTACGCTACTACCCATTCCGTTACGCTGACCAAAACACGAAAGAGCAAATGCATCGTCATCATCAAAGGCGTCTTCGTCGGCTTCATCTTCTGCGTCGTCGCTTGAGCTGGTTGAGCTGTCGCCATCGACAACGAGAGATGGAGGAGCGTCGGATAATGAAATGTCTAAAAGTGGTGCAAAGAGAGATTCTTGAGTGAATGGGTCTGTAGGCTCTTCTTTGGTAACGTTGTGATTTAAAAAAGAAGGGCTTGATGTGTTTTGTAGAGTACTGTTGGTGCTGTTGATAATATTGTCGATATTGTTGATATTGGTGTTGTAACTATTGTCATTATTGTCATCATTAGTATTGTTGTTGTTGCAGTTTGAGTTTAAAACCATGACCTCATCAAGTGTGTTTGAGGAAAGCCAGGGTTCTTCCCCACATCCCTGGCTTGCAGCCGAGTCTTCAGCTAAGGGGGACTTACAAGCCCCGAAACTTTTAGACTCCTCCTCATCAATGACATCCACCATATCTTCTTCAATAGTTTCCTTTTCTTGAGTTTCAGGTTGAAGTTGAGGTTGTTTTTGTTGTTGTTGCTGCTGCTGCTGCTGCTGCTGCTGCTGCTGCTGTTGTTGTTGTTGTTGTTGTTGTTGTCGTCGCTGACGAGCCCCACGGTTTTCGAGATGTTCATTGATCCACATATTAATGGGGAACTTGAATTCTGTTACATAAGGGAAGCAATGGTAGCGTTCCATAAAGGCTTGGAATTGAGGTAAATGCTCGTACTTGACCACAAGATTAGCCACTAATCTTGACTGGAGAGGGTTGATGGGTCGACGATCCCAGGATCGAGCAAGTGCTGAGGGGACATGCGATCGTGGGGGGAGTTGCACAAAATTTGGAGCAGAGTTTTCTGTATTAGTATTTCTTGATCCATCTTTTATGGGTGAACTATTTTCCAAATTTTCTTCAGACTCATTATCGGAATCATCAGAATCATCATCATCATCGTCATCGTCGTCATCATCATCATCGTCTGAATCATGGACAAAATCATGGGCAGCTGAAATGCCGGAAAAGGCCAGAAAGTTACTAACACGTTTTCCTGAGAGAACTGAAGAGCCATGGGGCTTTTCTGGAGATACATTTTCTTGGGCCAATGGTTGTTGTTGTTGTTGATGTTGTTGAAGGGTTGGAGCCGCGACTTTGAGTAAGGAAGAGGATATGAATGCAGACATTTAAAACAAAGTCTTTTTTTCTTTTTTTTTTTTTGAGTTATAGATAAGTGTATAATAATATATGGACACTAAAGCAGATGAAAAGTAGATATTTTATTTATATCTAAATATATATATATATATGTATATATATAATATGGGGTAATTGTTGACAATTTCTCACCAAAAAAAAAAAAAAGATGAAAAAAAAAATGAGAGAGAAAGATAAATAAATCAACAAAAACACTTGAGAGAAGGGGAGGGAAAGTGGACAGATTATATATAAGATTGGAAAAAGGAAAAGAAAAATTCAAACAGATTGTTTATTTATTTTATTTATTTATTTATATTTATTTATTTATAAAAAATATAATGTTTATTTATTTACTTTTTATTTTTAATTTTTAATTTCAACTCAAACATTAATTTCATGGCTCCCCTTTCTTTTCCTCCTTCTCCTCCTCAACAATAACAATATATATAACAATAACATCTTAAACCACCCTTGCCCTCCAGTATCAAAAAAAAAAAAAAAAAAAAAAAAAAGCCCCACACTACCATTGTGGTACTTTTGGCTGCCCGTCTAATTTCGTCCGCATTAAACTTCAAACCTCCATAAGCTCTCCCCAGCCATGCACCGCTGTCTCATGCGTAAAACGCTACCCAAAGCAGTCTATCCGTTGCATAATTCCGGCAATCTTTAAATAAATAAATAAATAAATAAATATGAATATATATTAAAATAAAAGAATTGATATTATTTTTATATATTAAATGATTAAGTCCATATTGATTAGGTTTGTGTGTTTTTTACCATACTGTAGAATGATAGTATATATATATATATATATATATATATATATATTATAAACCCAACCCTAACCTCAATTATAAAAATAAACCCCAACCCTAGCGGAATACTTGACTTTTTCCGGGAGATTGTCATAGCAACCAGAAGAAGAAACCTTTCTTAAAATTAGTTCACACATACACACACACACACACACAAAAAAAAAAAAAAAAAAATTCATTTAATTTAATATATTGTCAAAATCATTACCACCACCAGCCAACACAACTAACTAGCTATCGCCACCAATACAATACAATGTCAACCCGACCAGCAAAAGAGTCTGAAAGAAACCAGGAAGCTACAGTATACATTGGAAATATTGATGAAAATGCAGATGACGAATTGGTAAGTACAGAAAAAAGTGCCTTGATATTATTCATCTCTAACTCTCGAAACAGATTTGTGAACTTATGATTCAGGCTGGACCTTTAGTGTCAGTCCATCTCCCCAAAGACAGAGTCAACCAGATTCATCAAGGATTTGGGTTTGCGGAATACTTAAATGAACGTGATGCTGAATATGCTGCTCTCATAATGAATGGAGTCCGTCTCTATGGTAAGGCTCTACGCGTCAACAAGGCTCTTCTCGACAAACAAAAGGCCATTGATGTTGGTGCCGACCTTTACATTGGTAACCTTGACTCCATGGTTGACGAACGCGTTCTTGCTGATACCTTTTCTGCTTTTGGAAACTTTGTCAGTCAACCCAAGGTGGCCCGCGACGCAGATACAGGTGCTCCAAAGGGTTATGGCTTTGTTTCATTTGATAGTTTTGAAGCCTCAGACCGTGCTCTCGAGTCCATGAATGGTCAATATCTTATGAACAAACCTTTGGTTATTAATTACGCATACAAACGTGACGGCAAAGGTGAACGCCATGGTGATGAAGCCGAACGTTTACTTGCAGCTCAAGCTCAGAAAAATAATTACAAACTTCCATCTCAGTTTTCTCAACAGCAACAACAACAACAACAACAACAACAACAACAACTACAGCAACCACCTTTACAACAACTGCAACCACCTCCAGTACAACCACCGTTCTCCATCCCTCAAGGACAAATTCCTCAACAATATCCTCCTCAACATCCAATCCCCCAATTTGGCAACATGAAGCTGGTCCGTGGACCAAACGGCATGATACAATCAACTACCCCCTTGGCAACTGCTGCTGCTGTCGCTGCCGCCGGGGCTCCCCCAGTCTTCCCGGTCGTTCCTCCTCCCTTTATCTCACGTGCAACAAATTTTGATCATCGATAGTTGTATGTATAAGCGTATTTCTTTTTTGTTTCAAAATTATTTCTTTATTATTATTATTTTTTCATTTTTTTTTCATGCTTAATTAACAAATAATAATGCCTTTATTATCCAGTTTATGTATAATTCTTTTCGCCAATCACCATTGATCGCCCATTATGAGCTTTTCATTTCGCATGTCTCAGGTCTTTTTTTTTTTTACTTTTCATTATTTCCAGTTAATGCAAATTAACGATTAAAAAAATGCGCGGTTCTATTTTTCTTTCTTTTTTTTTTTTTTTTTTTTTTTTTTTTAATACACGTGCTTTTTTATTTCTTAATCAAATTCAATCACTTATATTTCCTCTTTTGGAAAACTATGATACCACTACAGCTCTTCTGAAGTGTCAATAATCAACATTAATTATCTTCTTTGTTTTTTTCTTTTCTTCTTTCCTTGTATTTAATTCACCACCATCACAATCAGCATTATCAAAAATATAAACAAAAGCTCTGTTCTTTTAAACAATCGCACACGCACACTAAACATTTATAAAATGTATATTTTCATCTTTGAAATTGTCTTTGGTTTAACCCTTGCAGCCAACCAATTGGTTTCTGCTGCAGCCATTCCTCCATACTACACTGTTGCACCTGCTGCATCCACAGCTCAATCTCCCTCCATTACTCCACCTCGCGGACCTGGAGCTTTTGCGCCTCCAGCAAAACCAGCATCGCGTGCTTGGAAACCAAATTTGCCTGTTCCTGGGGAAAACACTGAGGATGACAATGAGAAAACTTTTGGAATTGCTGATGGGAAGAAACACAGTCCAATATGTAAAGATTGTGTGGGACGTACGCGACAACTGGTGAAGGATTATACGCTACTCGACTCGATTGATTATCGTGCAGAGGAAGAAGGCAAAAATGAGAAAGAAAATGGTGGGAAAAGTGTTGGAGATAAAGAGGGAAGGGAACAAGCACTTAGGCCAGCCAAATGGTATGTGTATTGGCGTAACGGATATTTAGAGATTCCTCGGCCTCGTGAGTGGCACATTCCCAGCCCGCCATTAGCTGACTATCTTGAAGAAGAGGCAAAATAAAAATAAAAATTGAGAAAAAAAGTTGATAAAAAAAAGAAAAGAAAAATGATTTTTAAAGAAACAATATTTTTTTTTTTTTGAGGGGTTATTATTATTGAGGAACACTGAGTGATTAAAAAAAAAAAACTAATAAAAAAAAAAAAAGAAGAATAAATAGATTATAAAGGTAGATTATTTGATTTTTTTTAGATAGATAAATTAAAATGCGACTAGGGATTATTAAAGTATAAAAAAAATAAAATTTCGGGAGAATATGCCAATATTTGAATAAAATGTCAAAGCAAAAAACGATGTTTCCCGAGATTCATGTAAGAAATTAGCCGTATGTCAGTCATCATTAGAATAAAGAAAGAACACACACCAAGTCCATCTTCGACTATTATAATTATAACTGCGATTCACCGCGCAGGTAATGTGATGGACATTCGTATCCACCAGGATTATTTTGCAAGTATTTCTGGTGATACTTTTCTGCGTCCCAAAAGCTATCGGCTTTTACAATTTGGGTGACAATACGAGCACCTGGGAAGTATTTTTCCTGGGCCACATCACGAGCCCTTTCTGCGTCAGTTTTCTGAGCATCAGAATGATAAAAAATAGCAGATCGATACTGAGATCCACGATCAGGGCCCTGGCTATTAAGAGTAGTAGGATCGTGCATGCGGAAAAAAAAGAGAGTCAAATCATAGTAGCTCACAGTTTTGGGATCAAATGAAAGCTGAACAACTTCGGCATGACCAGTACCACCAGTACAAACTTGATTGTACGTGGGGGAAGTCATGGCGCCTCCAGCATAGCCAACTTTGCAATCAATGAGACCTCGTTTAGCGAAATGTTTACGGTACATGTGCTCGACTCCTGAATTAAGAACGAGAAAAAAAAAAAAAAAAAAAAAAAAAAGAGATGAAAAGTTAGATAAAAAAAAAAAAGGTAATCAAAAGGCAATCATTTTAAGGTACAAGAATCTTACTTACCCCAAAAACATCTAAATATAGTCATTTAATTAATTGAAAGGGGGGAGGGAGAAAAAAAAATAAGAAAATTAAAGGTTAAAGTTAGCATGAATTTATTATTTTTTAGAAAAAAAAATTTAATCAATTAAAGATTAAAAAAAAAAATTTGGATATTAATGGTTTCTTTTTTTTTTATCCCGGTTGTCTTTTATTTCTCTGTTTCCTAGCATAAACCTTCATTTCCAGTAGTTTGTTCTAATTATGCAGGCAACATCAAGAGCAAAAGACGAACAACTCAACAAAAAAAAAATAAAATAAAATAAAAAGTACCAGATTTTCTTCTTAATATGAGAAAAGAAATACTCTTCATTTCTTTAAGATTTCTTTTTAAAAGAGAATAAAAAAAAATTGTCAAAAGCAACTTTAAGAAGTAGAATAACACCAAATCTTTTTCTCCTGAATTAAAAGTCTTTAAACTTTTGTTCCAGTCCATATGCATCTTTTTTTTTTTTAATTTTTTTAATTTTTTTAATTTTTTTAATTTTTTTTTTTTGTTTCTTTAATTCTTAAACAAAAAATCTTTGATTCTCTAATTTTACTCGCACTTTCAAAATTCTCTCTTCACATACCCTGCTCCATAGGTTGCAACTTGTGCTCCTTCCGGGACGTTAAGTGTGGGTGAAACCACGCCGTAATCGACGATTGATGAGTGTGCTGATTTCGTAGACATTGCTTGTTTGTGGACAATTGTATGTACTTGTTTTTTGAGTGCTTGTAGCATTTGATTGTGTATGTGTGGGGAGGGTGGGGGAAGGTGTGAGGTTAGAAAAAGTTGTTGTTTATTATAAATTATAAATCTGTCTGACGAGAGATAAAAATTAAAAAAAAAAATTAAAAAAAAATTAAAAAAAATTAAAAAAAATTAAAAAAAATTAAAAAAATTAAAAGGGCAATAAGTAACCCTAACCACTGTGGAATTGTCAAGTAATCAACATGCGCCAGTCTTGTTGTTTTGTACACAAAAAAAAAATCAAAATCAAAATCAAAATCAAAATGCGACTGACTGATTACTGATGACTCTCTTAAAAAAATGGCAATTTCTTCAAAATTTTTTATCATATAAAAAAAAAAAGAAATTTTTATTGTCAAGTATTATATTTTAAATTATATTATATATAAAAAAAATTTCAAAAAAAGGGTTTAACAAACTACATAAACTACTTTCTCTTTAAGCATCAGCGCCGACCCACTCCCAGACACGCATAATCTCTCCACGAATGTCCATTAGCTTCGCCCGGACATTTGAATTGCTCTCCACAATATGCACCACATCTTCCCAAGCCTGCTTGCGCGCCTTCAAATCAGGCATTGTAGGTAGCAACTCATCTCTCAAATGAACTACTGCCACACATGCCGTCGTGCGTCCTCGCTCGTCCTCCTTATACAACTGCACCTGTCGCCTCAGCCGCGCAAGTGCTTCCAGTGCAAGTGTTTCTGCGCGTGCCCTCCGCTCATCCCGCGCCCGTTTCCATAATCGTCCTCCAGTCACCGCAACAACAAAAACTAAAAAGAGTCCAAGCTGCGCTCGATATCTTTCCACGAGTCCGGCAATGTATCTTCGGATGGCGCAGCCGACACTGATGCTTCCGAGGGACTCGCTTCGGAAATACCGTTGGAGTTGTTCTTCTTCCGGGCAAAGTACCCGAAGCTTCTCTCCCTCCTCATTTGCCTCAGCTTCTCCGTGAATGTCAGAGCCGTCGGTTTCGGTACAGGCCGTTTCGTGAGTGATAACAGATTCTCGGATCTAAAAAAAAAAAAAAAAACAAGTGTTAGCAAAATTAATAAAATAAAATAATAAATAAAATTGGAAAGACCCGCCTTACAATAACTTCTTCGTCAGCTTCAACGCCTTCAATTGCATGATTCCAAAGATCATTGAAATCTTCATCAGAAATAGACTCCTAAAAATTGTTAGCGAAAATTGTTGTTATTCAAGAATTCTCGAAAAAAAATAAAAAATAACTTACTGCTTTCATAGAGTAAAGCATATTTCGAAGTTCAGTTTCTTCAAACTCAGCAGAGGTGGTTTCCTTATCACCACAAATGAACTTGGCGTTGCGGTCGCGTAAAATCTCCAATGCCTTTTTGGTAAGCTTTTCAATGCGCTTTTGTTTTTCTGTATCAGGAACACATCGGGGTGCCACAGGAAGGTATCCACCAAGGGACCAAGGTGACGCAATCTGAAGAAACCCATCATCGCAAACAGCCTTAAATTCAGGGAAGCATGCGGCATGTTCTGGACACGGCTCACACTCTGGTCGGATTTTGTCGAGAGCTTCGCTGACACAGTCGGCTATGTATTCCTTGTCAAAGTATTCTTGCCACCTTTGAGGAGGTGCAGAGTAGTGCGGGCGGAGGTGGTTTACCCAAGCAGGCTCATTAGAATCAAATCCAACATCACAGTAGCCAGCATTAAATTTTGCCTCAATATACCACCGCGAAAAAGCAGCAAGAATAAGCAAAAGAAGAGAAACACCAAAAGCCTTGCCCACAGTGTGTGAACGGCGGGGACCTTCTTCTTCTTCTTTTTCTTTTGCCTTAGTTTTTTGCCTTTCCTCTTTATCAACCTCATTTTCAAGCTTCTCAAGAGCCTCCGTCTCATCTTCGTCATCAGAATGAATACCTTCGACCTCAAATCGAGAAGGGGTGTTGGCCAGCTCAAATGGGATTTCAGATTTTTTCTCTGGTGTCTTTGGAGCAAACATAACCTTGACGCCATCATTATCTTCATCAGCCAGCTTGGTTAACAGGCTTTGGCCAGGGGGGCGCATAAAGCTAACCTTTTTGGAGCTCTTAGGGGTCTTGGGAGGTTGTGTAGGGGATTCTGGTACAATATTACTTTTAGTGAGCTTAGAAGATCGGCTAAGAATTGATGAAGGCTCGATCTTAGGAGGTCTGCTTTGAGGTGTAACAAAGGTTGTTGCGATGCCACTTTCGGGTGTCTCTGGGGATTTCAAGACAGCCTCCTTTGCTTCGTCATCCATTTCAACGTCATCATCATCTTCAGCCTCTTCGCTTAAAGCAACAGATTCTCGCTTTTTAGCTGGGATAGCCAAGTTTTCTGCGTCATCTTCTTCAGAATTCACGGGTCGCTTTCTTTTTCCACGAGACACAGGAGTTGAAGGATTTGATCCTGATTGGAAAACATTATTTTTGGTAAATGGAGTAAAAGATGTGCTCTTTGTTGGCGAAGGCTTAACAGAGGTTTGAGCAGGTTTCAACTTTTCTTCTTTTTCTTTTTCTTCTTCTTCTTCTTCTTCTTCTTCTTCTTCTTCTTCTTCTTCAACAATTTCGTCCGTCATAATGATATCCTTGTCGAGACTTTCCTGGGAAACTAAAACACTACTTGTAGTTTCTTCAATCTCAACATCAATAATTTCATCTTGCGAAGTAGGCTCCTTGATTTTTTTGACTTCATCTTCGGGTGAAGGCACATATGATTTTTTAAGAGGAGACTCTTTTGTTGGTGTATGAACAGAAGAGGCAGTTTCAGTCTTTTTAATCGGAGTGAAAAGAGGAGAAGATGATTTTGGAGTACGGGTGGAAGATGGTTTGGTAGGCGTATTATTACTTGCTGAACCTGAGGCATCGTTCAGCTCGTCATTAGAATTAAGCGAGGTAGGATCGATACTAGGCTTTGCGAGCGTGCGTGTACTTCGTTTTTTAGAAGAAGATTTTGAGGGGGAATCAGTAGTAGAGGTAGTAGGATTAGCTGTTGGGGTTGAAGTTGAGGAAGAAGAAGAAGACGATTTCTTAGGAGTGATTTCGTGTTTTTGATGATGATTCTTGCGGGAATGTTTATCCTCAGATGATTTTGGTGAGGATCCGCTAGAAGAGGAAGCAGTTTCAGCAGTAGATGATATATGATTGCGGTGGCGAGAAGGCATGTCTACAATGTTTTTGACCGAGGGAGTGGCGGAGGTATATTCCTTGAGTAAATCAGATGCAATGGGGGAGAGTTGCTCCTTGAAGACCTTGATGAGATCGGCCTTTTTACCGGCTGTAGGATACTCAATATCATGTTTATTGAGAAGATTACGGAGCTGGGAGATCCTAAGAGTACTAGGATCAAAATCTATTAATGGTTAGTAAAGTCTTGTAAAATTAAATATGGGATATACATACTGGGTTGCAAATATTCAAGTGAATCGTCCATTGTTTTTTTTTTTGTATGTGTGTGTAGACTTATTTATTTATAAAGAACAAAACAAATTAAGATCAAAACCGATCAATAAGAAAAAAAAAATGTTTCCCCCAAAATAAAAGGGGATTAATAAGGATTGATTTTAACAAATTTAAAAACTGGGATTACAGACCAAAAGATATGATATGGCTGGAATGAATGTGGTTGTTGTTGTTTGGATGTAAGAAAGAAAGAAAGAAGGGAGAAGAAAAAATTGATGGTGGTGGTGGTGGTGGTTGTGGTGGAGTATTTTTTTGTTTGTTTGTTTTGATTTTCAATATTTTTTTTTTTTTTTTTTTTTTTTTTTTGAGTCTTGTTGGGAAGGTTGAAGTAAGGAGAAATTAAATTCTTTCATAAGGTATTTGTCATCATTAAGTGATCCAATAATGTAAAGATTACATTTACTTTATGAGAGCAAAATTGTAAATTTACTAACTTAACTGATGACTAATCATATTGTGCCCATTTTTATTACACTTTTGTTACATCTTTTTTAATATGTGTTTCTTTAATTTTTTAATTTTTTTTTTTTTTTTTTTTCAAAGCTTTTAAAATATCTCTCTCTCTCTCTAAACCCACCATAATTTTTGTCCAATACAAATCCTTCTTCACCACCACCACCACCACCACCACCACCACCACATACACTATCAACAATGATTTCTAGACAATGCGTCCAACGCCTACTAACAGTGAGCAGTAGAAGAACCGCCATGATGTCGCGTTTTTATAGCTCAGCAGGACCAGTAAAATCTTCGTCAACAACAGCTACGCGCAAGCGACGCGAAGAAGCTCAAGCTCTGCGGGATTCGTTCAAATTCAATTTAATTGACAATGGCGAGGAAGATGACGAGACGCTGCGTCAGAAAAAGCTTAAACGCACCTACGAACCTAATCCTGAGGTACCTATTCTTGATAATTTGGCTTCGCGTTGGGACAAGATGGATTCTTTGGATCAGGAAGAAATTGTGCTTTATCTTGAGGACCGTATGCGTGGAGACTGGAAGGAAATGTCTGATTTAGAAAAGAAGTCTGGTAAGTTTTTAAAAAAAAAAAAGAGAGAGAGAGAGAGAAAAAAAAATAGAGAGAGACTCAATTTCGAATATAAGAGAATAATACCAAAAGAAGAATAAAAAAACAAAGAAAGAATGAATGAATGAAAAAAAAATTATTAATATTAATATTAAAAAATACCTTAAAAAATTGAATCAAAACAAAATTCCCAAAAAATAAATATCCAAACTAAGGACTCGTACTCCGATCAAAACAGCCACAAAAAACAGCCACAGCTGTTGCGATAAAAAGCGGGGAGAGGGAAAGAAGAAAAGGAAAAAAAAAAAAAAAAAAAAAGTTTTTTGATGCAATTTTTTTATTTGAAAAATGTTTTGTTTGTTTGTTTAATTATTATGCCAGCCACATTTTCGGGGCACCGCAATGGAGACCGGCAAGAACCCCATTTTAGAATGAAAAAAAAAAAATAAGTATTTCCAAATCATGACTCAAAAAAGATTTAAAAAAAAAACAAACAAACAAACAAACAAAAATGGCTGTTGCAGAGCCGATGAGTTGTTGTGCGTGGCACATGCACTGGTTGAACGACCGTTAAACATGAAATGACGCCAATCCTTGTGACTTTTTTTTTTTTTTTTTTTTTTATCTTTTCTTGAATTTTATTGCAAAACAAACAAACAAACAAATTGAATTTGAAACTATTTTTTTACATGTGCAACTTTTTTTTTTTTTTATTTTATTTTTGATTTAATTAGCTTCTCTCTTTTTCTTTCTCCTTGTGTTTCAATCAATTCAAATTAAATGACTCTAACAAATTTTTTTTTTCTTCCCAATCATAGCTCTCTTTGTTGCTTATGGTCCCTGGGGCCCCCGTGCTCAAACAAAAGACTCGCGTTCTGGTTATGAGATTTTTGTTAAAATTGTTCTTGTTTCTATGATACTTGTTGGAGGTTACCAGATTGCAAACAGAAAGGCTGGTTACTTTAACCCCCCATTGCTTGAAAATGCCAATTCTACAGTCCCTGAACAAAAGGAAGAGCAACAAAAGAATTAAAAGTAAATCCATCTCTGCGCTATTTTTTTTTTTTTTTTCATTTAATTCACTCTCAAAATTTTGTAAATAGACAAAAAATCGCATTAGAACCTTTCATCTCTTGTAAATATAAATATAAATATAAAAGAATCCAATTAAAAAATCATTTTTTTTTAAATATATATATAGTATACAATAAACTCAACTCAAATATATCCTCTGTTGTTTTCCTCTGTTGTTTTTTTAAATTGATTTTTCAAAATGTTGAAGTTTGCTAATTTTGTTTTTTTTTTATATAATAGAAAATCTCTTTGTTGAAGAAAGTAATTCCAAATATTTTTTTTTTTTTAAGTTTCAATTCTCATTTTTTTTTTTGTCGATAATATTTTCAATATAAATAAAATGTTTGTAAAGAAAAGAAATATTTTAAAATTTAATATAATTTTTTTTTTTTTGTTCTCACTCTTCATTTCACTTTGGCATTGACCTTAGACATGGTAGTCTCCGACATGATCTTCTTTTTCATGTCAAAAAGCTCAGTCATATCACGAGCTTCATTCTTCTCAACAACAAGATTGCGCAACCACTTATTTTCCATCTCAAGTTGCATAATCTTCGTCTCAAGAGAATGAACACGCTCCTGAAGATCTTTAGCTGTGCGCTCCATCTGCTGCTCACGAAGTTTCTTCTTAACACGGAAACGAGCTGAAGCTGCAGTGTTGCGACGACGCTTGTCTTCTTCTGGAGTCAAGTTCTTAGAATCTATTTCTTCAGTCTCTGAAGAAGCAGATGCCAAATCAGCAGCAGCAGAGACAGCGGCAGCAGCAGCAGCAGCGGCAGCGGCAGCAGCTTCCTCAGCTGCTGCTGCCTTGGCCTTAGCAGAAATTGAAGCCACCTTCTCTGCAGTGCTAGAAACACTCACAGAAGAAGAAGTACCAGTACGTCTCCGCTTAGAGTTAGGGGGAGGCACAGCTATCGTTTCATCCTTCCTAACAGGTGAGTCAGGTATACTAGGTGCATGTGTAGGAGCAGAAATATGGAACTTGGCTGGAGAAACAACAATTGGGATGGTTGAGGGAACAACATTATTAGCAAGAGGAGAGGAAGAGGAAGATACAGAGATAGGACTAGTTGAGGAAGTAACGTTATTGGCAAGAGGAGAGGAAGGAGAAAGAGAAGTAGAGTTAGTCGAGTGAGAAACTGGAGAAGGTGAGGTAATAGGTCCAGCTGGAGAGGTGTGATGTTCAAGTTTGGGCAAAACTTGAGGCGATGAGACCAAAACCTTATTGCGGTGTTGTTGTTGTTGCTGTTGAGGCGGCTGTTGTTGAGGCTGCTGTTGATTTTGAATAAATGAATTCTGGTGGAGCTGAGGTTGCAAATGATGGAATTGGCTGTGAGAGTTTGGTTGCTGGTGATTAATCATAGAGTTGAGAGCAGGCGACGCAACAAGATGAGAAAGACGAGGTTGTGTGGAAAGAGTCAACGGATCGGTAAATTGATGTTGAAGGTAGCTGGCACTGGAGTTACTGAAGCTCACCTGTTGTGGATTTGCGTTAGACAAGGTCCCAGTCGTGTTAGAAGAACCGTGAAGAGAAGATGTGGGGGAGTTGGCCGAAAGTGGTAGTAATTCATTAGCCAGTGAAAATTGCTGAAGGTTGCCCAAATCAAAAGTAAGGTCCGCAGAAGTGTGTTGTTGGAAAAGAAAAGAATTTTGAAGAGGTACTGAAGAAGATGAAGAAGAAGAAGATGATGATGATAATGAGGAAGACGAAGAAGAAGATGATGAAGAAGGTCCTGAAGAAGATGAAGATGAAGCACCATTGTTAAAGGCACCCTTTGAGCATTGGAGCTGTTGCTCTTGTTGCATGAGAAGGTCATCCATGGTAGCGGCAATATCGGTTGAGCAGCCCATATCGAAATCAAAAAATTGAGTGTTGGCGAAAATAGCAAGCTCTTCATCGCCGTTATTAGAGCTTGAGCTTCCTACTCCATGGCCGCCATTGTTATTATTGCTGCTTCCTAGTCCGGATCTTGAATTTGGTCCGGAACCAACATTGGCCGAAATTGACTCAACCGAGCCGTCTGCGTGACCCGCATGGCCAGCAGGCGAGTTTGAGCTGGATCCGTAATCAAGCGAATCGTCAATAGAGTTGAGATTCTCAAGAAACTGAGAAACGTTTATGTGTCTTCCAGACATTATATTGGGTGGAGAGAGAAAATGTGATTTTTTTTTTATTTAAAAATCAAAAGTGTATATAAAATGTGTATGTGTGTGTGAGTGGGATGTTAAATATATAAAAGGAAAAGAAAAAAAAAAAAAAATATGTGGAAAACCTTGCTTATAAATATTAAAGTGAGCCTTTCGAAGGTCCACCCAGCGTTGATTTTTTTATTTTATTTTATTTTTTTTCATTTAAACAAAAAAAAAAAAAAAAAAAAAAAAAAAAGACTCTGTAGCAAGCCACATTTCATGCCAACCCGTACCCTGGCCACATGCATCAAACTGGCTACAGTAGAAGTAAAATATTTCACAATTTCACGTGACTTTTTTAAAGCTTATTTTTTGTTTAACTCGGGACGCAGCATTAACAGAGGTTGTACTGTCATGTGACATTTACCGGTGTCGGCCAATCGGCCTTGCACTGCCAAAGGAGATGCGATGCTCATCATAAAACCACATTCAAGCCACAACTACAACAACTTGTTGAACTGTTAAGAAATGGGCTTTTTTGCTTTTTTTTTTTTTTTTTTTTTTATAATATAACTTTGTGAAGACTTTTAAAATAGAAATATTCAATTGAGTTTTAATTTTTTTTTTTTTTGATTTTATTTTTTTTATTTTTTTTATTTTTTTTTAAATTTTGAAATAAACAAATGTTCAATTTCAATTGAAGTAAAATAAAACAATTGCCTATTTGGGAAAGTGGTGATTTCTTAAAAAATAAAAAAAAAATAAAATTTGAGTAACGAAACATTTTTGTTTAAAAAATTTTAAAATTAACCGGTAAATTTATCAATATTTAAGGAAGAAAAAAAAAACGCCCCATTTAAAACTAAAAACAAATTCATTAAAAAACTAAATATTAACATTTAAAATCTAAAATCTAAAAACTAAAAACTAAAAACAAAATCATTAAAAACATTAAAAACATTCTCTATAAGCCATTAGGCAATTTTTTTTTTTAATATTATCATGATGACCATCTTCATGATTATAACAAAAGAAGCGCCAGAGTTGGAATTAGCGCAGCAAAAAACTTGACCGAGCAGGCCGAAGCTCCGTTAGATTGTGGCAAGAACCCAGAAGCCGTGGTAACGGTACTAGGAGGCACAACACTAATGGAAGGTGTCTGTATAACCGTGCCGTTCATGGATCCCGAATTGTGGCTGTTCAAGCTGGCAGATTGTGAAGCCACAGTTGACTCCGTAGAAGTAGATGCACTTCCAGACAACGACTCTCCCTCCAAAAGGCCGGAGACCGCTGAGCTGGTTGGTATAGTTGTGGCTGTTGCATTTTCTAGATTGCTCTCCACATTAGAGTCCCCAACTACAGGTGACGAAGAACTAGAACTATATGTCACTGTTGTAAAAGTCTTGACATCCGTAAAAATTCCATTCTTTGCTGAGCTAGTCACCTCGGATGCAGATATTAAAGCAGAACCAGCAAAATCTGACAAAGAATTGTAAGGAGTACTTGAAGTGACAGTAGAAACATATGTCGAAACTCCGCCTTGACAAGTGGCACACGAGTTTGTAACTGTAAGAGTCAAAAGAGATGGGGTAAACTGGGAAGTAGCAACAGAACCAGTAACCGTGATCTCATCAGATGTGGTTGTGGTCAAGGTATTCTCAGTATCATAAGTACTCTCAACTGGGGTGCAGGGAACAATAGTGGTAACAATAGAAACAATAACTGTAGTACCATCTTCACAGGTCGAGCAAGACTCAGTCAAAGTCATAGTTGAAAGAGACTCAGTGTATTGGACTGTAGAAGTAGCGATTTCATTAATATCACTAATAGTAACTAGGGAAAGGGAAATTCCAGACTGAGAAGGAACATTGGATGTCAAACTTGAGCTTGACTCAAGGAGTTGCTTTGAATAAATACCAACTGTACCAGTAGATGCTAAAACTGTGACAGTGGCAACAGAAAGAGAGTTACCAGTAACAGTAACAGTAGCAGTAGCAGAAGAAGTATCGGTAGTGAAAGGAGACTCAACAAGAGCAGTGTCAGAAGAAATAGTAACAGCTACAGTAACAATAGACTCGACCGAACGCGATGTAGCGACAACGGATCCAGGAGCAGTGACTGTAACTGTAGAGAGAGATTCAACTGGAGCTGTGCCAGACAAAACAGTGCCTGTAATAACAGCTGGAGTGTCAGTAGCTCTAGAAATGCCAGTATTAGAAGCACTCTCAATTGAGCTACAAAGGACGGTGGTAGTGACAACTGAAAGAACTGTGGTAGTACCACCCTGGCAGGAAGAACAAGGCTTAGTGATAGTAAAAGTAGAAAGTGACTCCGAGTACTTCACAGTGGCTGTGGAGATGCTGTCTGAACCAGTGACAGTTACAGTTGAAATGAATTCACCAAGCTGAGAGAAAACAGAATTTGTACCAGTGGGGATAGTCACAGTGGAGAGAGATTCAACCAGTTCTGTGCCCGAAGAAACAGTAACTGTCATGGTAGTAGCAAGAGACTCGATGGGCTGGTAAGTAACAGTGGGTCCTGAACCAACACTAACAGTCACAATAGATTGAGATTCAACAGGCAGAGAAGAGTCAATATATGTGCCAAAAACTGTATCAGTAGAACTGCATGGGACGGTAGTAGTATCAACCGAAAGAACCGTGGTAAATCCTCCATGACAGGTATCACAAGGTTCAGTTACCGTAACAGTTAAAAGAGAATTCGTAAATTGCGCACTCATAGTTTCCATGTTGCTGGTGGTGAAAGTGGAATCGAGAACTTCAGCGGCTGTAGCAACTCCCTCTGTGCTAAATTCTGGGACATTTACTGAAGAAACATTTGAAGGCTCAATGCTTTCATAAGAAGTATCGCTAAACTTACTAGTAATAGAAGAAACTGGAACAATATTATTCAAAGACGAACTTGTTTCAAAAGAGTTACCAGTTTCAACAGTTTCGGTGGAAACCAAAACAGTGACGGTAGAAAGAAATTCAGTGGTACCGCCAGTGCAATAAGAGCATGCTTCAGTAAGAGTGACAGTGCTTAAAGTCGTGAATACTGTTGACTTTGTAGTCACAGCAGTTAAAGTAGAGTCAGTCAAAGACTCAGATGATGTATAATATACTGAAGATGATTGAAAATATGAAGGAATATCAAGGGAAGAATGAACAGGCAAAGATGGAGCAGATGATGTCTCATAAAAGGAAGATTCGGTGAATGAAGAATCTGAAGAGAAAATGTAAAGAGAGGAAGAGCCATCAATGGAATAGTTAACAGATGAAGACTTGACTGATGGAATATCAACCGAGGAAGAATCAACCGAGGAAGAATCAACCGAGGAAGAATCAGAAGATGAAATCACAGAAGATGAATATCCCTGAGAAAGGTGTTCAGAAGAAAACTGATTGAGAGAGTTTGACTCAAAAATTGATGTCATATCTGATTGAGCAAAGGATGATTCAATAGATGAAGGTGAAGAAGATGAATATTCAACAGATGATGATTCAGTAGATGTTGATGCAATAGACGAAAATTCAGTAGAGTAAGAATCAAAGTATGAAGATTCAGCAGCTGAAGATTCAGTAGTTAATAAATCAAAGGAAGTAAATTGAGTTGAAAAATACTCAACAAATGAGGTTGTAGCATGTGATGAACCAGAGAATATATATTCAGCAGACGACGAATCAGTAGATGATGAATCAACATATGATAAATCAGCAGAGGAGTAACCAGCAGATGAAGAATCGTCAAATGTAGAATCATCAGAAGAAGGTTCAGTAAATGAAGATTCAAGAGATGAAAATACAGTAGAAGAGGAAGTATCAGAAGAATAATCAGTATATGGAGAATCAGAAGATAAAGAACCATCGGATGATGAATTAACAGATGAAGACTCAATGGATAAAAAATAATCAAAGGAGGAATCAACAGATGAAGAATCAAAAGATGAAAAATCAACAGATATAAAATCAGTAGATGAATAATCATCTGAAGAAGAATCAGTACATAAAGAATTAGTCGATGAAGATTCGTCAGATGTAGATTCAATAAATGGAGAATCAATATATGAAGATTTATCAGATGAAGAATAATCAGAAGTAGAATCATCAGAAAAAGAATCAGTACACCAAGAATCAGTCGATGAAAATTCGTCAGATATAGATTCAATGTATGAAAAATCAACAGATGAAGAAAAATGAGATGCGGAATCAACAGATGATGAATCAACAGATGAAGAATCAACAGATGATGAATCAGAAGATGATGAATCAACAGATGAAGAATTAACAGACGAATAAATTTGAGAAGAAGAATCATCAGATGAAGAATCAACAGATGAAGAATCAATAGATAAAGAATGATCAGATGATGAATCGACAGATGATGAATCAACAGATGAAGATTCACTTGAAGAAGATTCTATAGATGAAGAATCATCAGATGAAGAATCATCAGACGAGGAATCATCAAACGAAGAAACTTGAGATGAAGAATCAACTGATGAAGAATTCACAGATGAAGATTCAATAGATGAAGAATCAGTTGATGAAGAATCATCAGACGAGGAATCATCAGAAGAAGAAAATTGGGAAGAAGAATCAACAGATGATGAATCAACAGTTGATGAATCATCAGAAGAGGAATCATCAGACAAAGAAACTTGAGAAGAAGAATCATCTGATGAAGAATTAACAGATGAAGATTTAATAGATAAAGAATCAATAGATGTAGAATCATCAGAGGAGGAATCATCAGAGGAAGAAACTTCAGAAGAGGAATCAACAGATGATGAATCGACAGATGAAGAATCAACAGATGAAGAATCAATAGATGATGAATCAACAGATGAAGATTCACTAGAAGAAGATTCTATAGATGAAGAATCATCAGATGAAGAATCATCAGACGAGGAATCATCGGACGAAGAATCTTGAGATAAAGAATCAACTGATGAAGAATTCACAGATGAAGATTCAATAGATGAAGAATCAGTTGATGAAGAATCATCAGACGAGGAATCATCAAACGAAGAATAATCAGATGAAATTTGAACTGAGATAGAATACCATGAATCCGATGGCATTACTGGAGCCTTACCACGCGATCCCGTATCAGGAACATTAGTGACTGAAGTCTCAGACACTGATGAATCCGCTGAATAAGATTTCTGATATGAAGAATTAATAGTTGAAGATTCACTAAAAGAAGTTTCAACTGATGAGGTATCATCAGATGAAGAAACTTGAGAAGAAGTATCAACTGATGAAGAATCATCAGAGGAGGAATCATCAGAGGAAGAAACTTGAGAAGAAGAATCAACAGATGATAAAACAACTGATGAAGAATCAACAGATGAGGAATCATCAGATGTAGAATCATCATAAGAAGAAACTTCAGAAGAGCAATCAACAGATGATGAATCATCAGAGGAAGAAACTTCAACAGAGGAATCAACAGATGATGGATCGACAGATGAAGAATCAATAGATGATGAATCAACAGATGATGAATCATCAGAAGAGGAATCATCAGACGAAGAAACTTGAGAAGAAGAATCAACCGATGATGAATCAACTGTTGAAGAATCGACAGATGAAGAATCAAGAGATGAAGAATCAATAGATGTAGAATCATCAGAGGAGGAATTATCAGAGGAAGAAACTTGAGAAGAAGAATCAACAGATGATGAATCAATAGATGATGAATCAACCGATGATGAATCAACAGATGATGAATCAACAGATGAAGATTCACTAGAAGAAGATTCTATAGATGAAGAATCATCAGATGAAGATTCACTAGAAGAAGATTCTATAGATGAAGAATCATCAGATGAAGAATCATCAGACGAGGAATCATCGGACGAAGAATCTTGAGATAAAGAATCAACTGATGAAGAATTCACAGATGAAGATTCAATAGATGAAGAATCAGTTGATGAAGAATCATCAGACGAGGAATCATCAAACGAAGAATAATCAGATGAAATTTGAACTGAGATAGAATACCATGAATCCGATGGCATTACTGGAGCCTTACCACGCGATCCCGTATCAGGAACATTAGTGACTGAAGTCTCAGACACTGATGAATCCGCTGAATAAGATTTCTGATATGAAGAATTAATAGTTGAAGATTCACTAAAAGAAGTTTCAACTGATGAGGTATCATCAGAGAAGGAATCATCAGAGGAAGAAACTTGAGAAGAAGAATCAACAGATGATAAAACAACTGATGAAGAATCAACAGATGAGGAATCATCAGATGTAGAATCATCATAGGATGAAACTTCAGAAGAGCAATCAACAGATGATGAATCATCAGAGGAAGAAACTTCAGAAGAGGAATTAGCAGATGATGAATCGACAGATGATGAATCAACAGATGATGAATCAACAGATGAAGAATTAATTGATGAAGAATCATCAAACGAGGAATCATCAGACGAAGAAAATTGGGAAGAAGAATCAACAGATGATGAATCAACAGATGAAGAATCAACAGATGAGGAATCAATAGATGAAGAATCATCAGAGGAGGAATCATCAGAAGAGGAATCATCAGAAGAGGAATCATCAGAAGAGGAAAATTGGGAAGAAGAATCGACAGATGATGAATCAACAGATGATGAATCGACAGATGAAGAATCAAGAGATGAAGAATCAATAGATGTAGAATCATCAGAGGAGGAATTATCAGAGGAAGAAACTTGAGAAGAAGAATCAACAGATGATGAATCAATAGATGATGAATCAACCGATGATGAATCAACAGATGATGAATCAACAGATGAAGATTCACTAGAAGAAGATTCTATAGATGAAGAATCATCAGATGAAGATTCACTAGAAGAAGATTCTATAGATGAAGAATCATCAGATGAAGAATCATCAGACGAGGAATCATCGGACGAAGAATCTTGAGATAAAGAATCAACAGATGAAGAATTCACAGATGAAGATTCAATAGATGAAGAATCAGTTGATGAAGAATCATCAGACGAGGAATCATCAAACGAAGAATAATCAGATGAAATTTGAACTGAGATAGAATACCATGAATCCGATGGCATTACTGGAGCCTTACCACGCGATCCCGTATCAGGAACATTAGTGACTGAAGTCTCAGACACTGATGAATCCGCTGAATAAGATTTCTGATATGAAGAATTAATAGTTGAAGATTCACTAAAAGAAGTTTCAACTGATGAGGTATCATCAGATGAAGAAACTTGAGAAGAAGTATCAACTGATGAAGAATCATCAGAGGAGGAATCATCAGAGGAAGAAACTTGAGAAGAAGAATCAACAGATGATGAAACAACTGATGAAGAATCAACAGATGAGGAATCATCAGATGTAGAATCATCATAGGAGGAATTATCAGAGGAAGAAACTTGAGAAGAAGAATCAACAGATGATGAATCAATAGATGAAGAATCAACCGATGATGAATCAACAGATGAGGAATCGACAGATGATGAATCATCAGATGAAGAATCATCAGACGAGGAATCATCAGAAGAAGAAAATTGGGAAGAAGAATCAACAGATGATGAATCAACAGTTGATGAATCATCAGAAGAGGAATCATCAGACAAAGAAACTTGAGAAGAAGAATCAACCGATGATGAATCAACTAATGAAGAATCAACAGATGAAGATTCACTAGAAGAAGATTCTATAGATGAAGAATCATCAGACGAGGAATCATCAGACGAAGAAACTTGAGATAAAGAATCATCTGATGAAGAATTAACAGATGAAGATTTAATAGATAAAGAATCAATAGATGTAGAATCATCAGAGGAGGAATCATCAGAGGAAGAAACTTCAGAAGAGGAATCAACAGATGATGAATCATCAGAGGAAGAAACTTCAGAAGAGGAATTAGCAGATGGTAAATCGACAGATGAAAAATCAATAGATGAGGAATTAACAGATGATGAATCGACAGATGAAGAATCAACAGATGAAGAATCAATTGATGAAGAATCATCAGAGGAGGAATCATCAGACGAAGAAAATTGAGAAGAAGAATCAACAGATGATGAATCAACAGATGAAGAATCAACATATGAGGAATCAATCGATGAAGAATCATCAGAGGAGGAATCATTAGAGGAAGAAACTTCAGAAGAGGAATCAACAGATGATGAATCGACAGATGATGAATCAATAGATGAGGAATCAATAGATGAGGAATCAATGGATGATGAATCAACTGATGATGAATCAACAAATGATGAATCAACAGTTGATGAATCATCAGAAGAGGAATCATCAGACGAAGAAACTTGAGAAGAAGAATCAACTGATGATGAATCAACTGATGAAGAATCAACAGATGAGGAATCCATAGATGAAGAATCATCAGAGGAGGAATCATCAGAAGAGGAATCATCAGACAAAGAAAATTGGGAAGGAGAATCAACAGATGATAAATCAACAGATGAAGAATCAACAGTTGATGAATCATCAGAAGAGGAATCATCAGACAAAGAAACTTGAGAAGAAGAATCAACCGATGATGAATCAACTAATGAAGAATCAACAGATGAAGATTCACTATAAGAAGATTCTATAGATGAAGAATCATCAGAGGAGGAATCATTAGAGGAAGAAACTTCAGAAGAGGAATTAACAGATGATGAATCATCAGTGGAAGAATCATCAGAGGAAGAAACTTGAGAAGAAGAATCAACAGATGATGAAACAACCGATGAAGAATCAATAGATGTAGAATCATCAGAGGAGGAATCATCAGAGGAAGAAACTTCAGAAGAGGAATCAACAGATGATGAATCATCAGTGGAAGAATCATCAGAGGAAGAAACTTGAGAAGAAGAATCAACAGATGATGAAACAACCGATGAAGAATCAATAGATGTAGAATCATCAGAGGAGGAATCATCAGAGGAAGAAACTTCAGAAGAGGAATCAACAGATGATGAATCGACAGATGAAGAATCATCAGAGGAAGAAACTTGAGAAGAAGAATCAACAGATGATGAATCAACAGATGTAGAATCAATAGATGTAGAATCATCAGAGGAGGAATCATCAGAGGAAGAAACTTCAGAAGAGGAATCAACAGATGATGAATCATCAGAGGAAGAAACTTCAGAAGAGGAATTAGCAGATGATAAATCGACAGATAAAAAATCAATAGATGAGGAATTAACAGATGATGAATCGACAGATGAAGAATCAACAGATGAGGAATCAACAGATGAGGAATCAACAGATGATAAATCAACAGATGATAAATCAACAGTTGATGAATCATCAGAAGAGGAATCATCAGACAAAGAAACTTGAGAAGAAGAATCAACCGATGATGAATCAACTAATGAAGAATCAACAGATGAAGATTCACTAGAACAAGATTCTATAGATGAAGAATCATCAGAGGAGGAATCATTAGAGGAAGAAACTTCAGAAGAGGAATCAACAGATGATGAATCGACAGATGAAGAATCAACAGATGAAGAATCAATAGATGTAGAATCATCAGAGGAGAAATTATCAGAGGAAGAAACTTGAGAAGAAGAATCAACAGATGATGAAACAACTGATGAAGAATCGACAGATAAAGAATCAACAGATGTAGAATCATCATAGGAAGAAACTTCAGAAGAGGAATCAACAGATGATGAATCATCAGAGGAAGAAACTTCAGAAGAGGAATTAGCAGATGATGAATCGACAGATGAAAAATCAATAGATGAGGAATCAACAGATGAGGAATCAACAGATGATGAATCAACAGATGATGAATCAACAGATGAAGAATCAATTGATGAAGAATCATCAGAGGAGGAATCATCAGAGGAAGAAACTTGAGAAGAAGAATCAACTGATGATGAATCAACTGATGAAGAATCAACAGATGAGGAATCCATAGATGAAGAATCATCAGAGGAGGAATCATTAGAGGAAGAAACTTCAGAAGAGGAATCAACAGATGATGAATCGACAGATGAAGAATCAACAGATGTAGAATCAATAGATGTAGAATCATCAGAGGAGGAATTATCAGAGGAAGAAACTTGAGAAGAAGAATCAACAGATGATGAAACAACTGATGAAGAATCGACAGATAAAGAATCAACAGATGTAGAATCATCATAGGAAGAAACTTCAGAAGAGGAATCAACAGATGATGAATCATCAGAGGAAGAAACTTCAGAAGAGGAATCAACAGATGATGGATCGACAGATGAAGAATCAATAGATGAGGAATCAATAGATGAGGAATCAATGGATGATGAATCAACTGATGATGAATCAACAGATGATGAATCAACAGTTGATGAATCATCAGAAGAGGAATCATCAGACGAAGAAACTTGAGAAGAAGAATCAACTGATGATGAATCAACTGATGAAGAATCAACAGATGAGGAATCCATAGATGAAGAATCATCAGAGGAGGAATCATCAGAAGAGGAATCATGAGACAAAGAAAATTGGGAAGAAGAATCAACAGATGATGAATCAACAGATGAAGATTCACTAGAAGAAGATTCTATAGATGAAGAATCATTAGAGGAAGAAACTTCAGAAGAGGAATTAACAGATGATGAATCGACAGATGAAGAATCATCAGAGGAAGAAACTTGAGAAGAAGAATCAACAGATGATGAAACAACCGATGAAGAATCAACAGATGAGGAATCATCAGATTTAGAATCATCATAGGAAGAAACTTCAGAAGAGGAATCAACAGATGATGAATCATCAGAGGAAGAAACTTCAGAAGAGGAATTAGCAGATGATGAATCGACAGATGAAAAATCAATAGATGAGGAATTAACAGATGATGAATCGACAGATGAAGAATCAACAGAGGATGAGTCAACAGATGATGAATTAACAGATGAAGAATCAACAGATGAAGAATCAATAGATGTAGAATCAACAGATGAGGAATCGACAGATGATGAATCATCAGATGAAGAATCATCAGACGAGGAATCATCAGAAGAAGAAAATTGGGAAGAAGAATCAACAGATGATGAATCAACAGATGAAGATTCACTAGAAGAAGATTCTATAGATGAAGAATCATCAGAAGAGGAATCATCAGACGAAGAAACTTGAGAAGAAGAATCAACAGATGATGAAACAACTGATGAAGAATCAACAGATGAGGAATCAATAGATGAAGAATCATCAGAGAAGGAATCATTAGAGGAAGAAACTTCAGAAGAGGAATCAACAGATGATGAATCGACAGATGAAGAATCAAGAGATGAAGAATCAATAGATGTAGAATCATCAGAGGAGGAATTATCAGAGGAAGAAACTTGAGAAGAAGAATCAACAGATGATGAATCAACTGATGAAGAATCAACAGATGATGAATCAACTGATGAAGAATCAACAGATGATGAATCAACTGATGAAGAATCAACAGATGAAGATTCACTAGAAGAAGATTCTATAGATGAAGAATCATCAGAAGAGGAATCATCAGACGAAGAAACTTGAGAAGAAGAATCAACAGATGATGAAACAACTGATGAAGAATCAACAGATGAGGAATCAATAGATGAAGAATCATCAGAGGAGGAATCATTAGAGGAAGAAACTTCAGAAGAGGAATCAACAGATGATGAATCGACAGATGAAGAATCAAGAGATGAAGAATCAATAGATGTAGAATCATCAGAGGAGGAATTATCAGAGGAAGAAACTTGAGAAGAAGAATCAACAGATGATGAATCAATAGATGATGAATCAACCGATGATGAATCAACAGATGATGAATCAACAGATGAAGATTCACTAGAAGAAGATTCTATAGATGAAGAATCATCAGAGGAGGAATTATCAGAGGAAGAAACTTGAGAAGAAGAATCAACAGATGATGAATCATCAGAAGAAGAAAATTGGGAAGAAGAATCAACAGATGATGAATCAACAGATGAAGATTCACTAGAAGAAGATTCTATAGATGAAGAATCATCAGAGGAGGAATCATCAGAGGAAGAAACTTGAGAAGAAGAATCAACAGATGATGAAACAACTGATGAAGAATCAACAGATGAGGAATCATCAGATGTAGAATCATCATAGGAAGAAACTTCAGAAGAGGAATCAACAGATGATGAATCATCAGAGGAAGAAACTTCAGAAGAGGAATCAATAGATGATGAATCAACAAATGCTGAATCAACAGATGATGAATCAACAGATGAAGAATCAATGAATGAAAATTCACTAGAGGAAGATTCTATTGATGCAGAATCATCAGAAGAAGAATCATCAGACGAGGAATCATCAGATGAAGAATCATCAGACGAGGAATCATCAGATGAAGAAACTTGAGAAGAAGAATCAACAGATGAAGAATAAACAGATAAAGAATCGAGAAACAGAGAGTAACTAAGTAAAGGTAATGATGACGTAGTAATGGCAGATGATGAAGTTGTGGTCGCAGAGTATGGAAGTGATGCAGTAAATGAAAGATCACATTTTTCAAAAGATGGGAAAACCATATTTGAAAGCAATTGGTAAGTGGTATAAAATTGTGAAGCACAAATCAAACAGTTCGATGTAATCTGAGGTGAAAAGCTTGATAATTGAGAACAAAGTTTGGAACTATCGGTATTAGAAGTAATTACGCTTATCAAAAGTTGACAATAATTTTCACATTGCCACGAAGCAGTTGGGACTGAACTTTCATAACCAGTATAATCACCAATTCCACTATACCATGAAGCAACTTGCCATGAAGTACTAGTTGTCAACAATGTAGATGACGAAGAACTTGTTGAAGTAGTTGTTGAAGTGCTAGTTGAAGTAGATGATGAAGTCGTAGTCGCAGAGTATGGAAGTGATGCAGTAAATGAAAGATCACATTTTTCAAAAGATGGGAAAACCATATTTGAAAGCAATTGGTAAGTGGTATAAAATTGTGAAGCACAAATCAAACAGTTCGATGTAACCTGAGGTGAAAAGCTTGATAATTGAGAACAAAGTTTGGAACTATCGGTATTAGAAGTAATTACGCTTATCAAAAGTTGACAATAATTTTCACATTGCCACGAAGCAGTTGGAACTGAACTTTCATAACCAGTATAATCACCAATTCCACTATACCATGAAGCAACTTGCCATGAAGTACTAGTTGTCAACAATGTAGATGACGAAGAACTTGTTGAAAGTACTTGTTGAAGTGCTAGTTGAAGTAGATGATGAAGTCGTAGTCGCAGAGTATGGAAGTGATGCAGTAAATGAAAGATCACATTTTTCAAAAGATGGGGAAACCATATTTGAAAGCAATTGGTAAGTGGTATAAAATTGTGAAGCACAAATCAAACAGTTCGATGTAATCTGAGGTGAAAAGCTTGATAATTGAGAACAAAGTTTGGAACTATCGGTATTAGAAGTAATTACGCTTATCAAAAGTTGACAATAATTTTCACATTGCCACGAAGCAGTTGGAACTGAACTTTCATAACCAGTATAATCACCAATTCCACTATACCATGAAGCAACTTGCCATGAAGTACTAGTTGTCAACAATGTAGATGACGAAGAACTTGTTGAAGTAGTTGTTGAAGTGCTAGTTGAAGTAGATGATGAAGTCGTAGTCGCAGAGTATGGAAGTGATGCAGTAAATGAAAGATCACATTTTTCAAAAGATGGGAAAACCATATTTGAAAGCAATTGGTAAGTGGTATAAAATTGTGAAGCACAAATCAAACAGTTCGATGTAATCTGAGGTGAAAAGCTTGATAATTGAGAACAAAGTTTGGAACTATCGGTATTAGAAGTAATTACGCTTATCAAAAGTTGACAGTAATTTTCACATTGCCACGAAGCAGTTGGGACTGAACTTTCATAACCAGTATAATCACCAATTCCACTATACCATGAAGCAACTTGCCATGAAGTACTAGTTGTCAACAATGTAGATGACGAAGAACTTGTTGAAGTAGTTGTTGAAGTGCTAGTTGAAGTAGATGATGAAGTCGTAGTCGCAGAGTATGGAAGTGATGCAGTAAATGAAAGATCACATTTTCAAAAAGATGGGAAAACCATATTTGAAAGCAATTGGTAAGTGGTATAAAATTGTGAAGCACAAATCAAACAGTTCGATGTAACCTGAGGTGAAAAGCTTGATAATTGAGAACAAAGTTTGGAACTATCGGTATTAGAAGTAATTACGCTTATCAAAAGTTGACAATAATTTTCACATTGCCACGAAGCAGTTGGAACTGAACTTTCATAACCAGTATAATCACCAATTCCACTATACCATGAAGCAACTTGCCATGAAGTACTAGTTGTCAACAATGTAGATGACGAAGAACTTGTTGAAGTACTTGTTGAAGTGCTAGTTGAAGTAGATGATGAAGTCGTAGTCGCAGAGTATGGAAGTGATGCAGTAAATGAAAGATCACATTTTTCAAAAGATGGGAAAACCATATTTGAAAGCAATTGGTAAGTGGTATAAAATTGTGAAGCACAAATCAAACAGTTCGATGTAATCTGAGGTGAAAAGCTTGATAATTGAGAACAAAGTTTGGAACTATCGGTATTAGAAGTAATTACGCTTATCAAAAGTTGACAATAATTTTCACATTGCCACGAAGCAGTTGGAACTGAACTTTCATAACCAGTATAATCACCAATTCCACTATACCATGAAGCAACTTGCCATGAAGTACTAGTTGTCAACAATGTAGATGACGAAGAACTTGTTGAAGTAGTTGTTGAAGTGCTAGTTGAAGTAGATGATGAAGTCGTAGTCGCAGAGTATGGAAGTGATGCAGTAAATGAAAGATCACATTTTTCAAAAGATGGGAAAACCATATTTGAAAGCAATTGGTAAGTGGTATAAAATTGTGAAGCACAAATCAAACAGTTCGATGTAATCTGAGGTGAAAAGCTTGATAATTGAGAACAAAGTTTGGAACTATCGGTATTAGAAGTAATTACGCTTATCAAAAGTTGACAGTAATTTTCACATTGCCACGAAGCAGTTGGGACTGAACTTTCATAACCAGTATAATCACCAATTCCACTATACCATGAAGCAACTTGCCATGAAGTACTAGTTGTCAACAATGTAGATGACGAAGAACTTGTTGAAGTAGTTGTTGAAGTGCTAGTTGAAGTAGATGATGAAGTCGTAGTCGCAGAGTATGGAAGTGATGCAGTAAATGAAAGATCACATTTTTTTTCAAAAGATGGGAAAACCATATTTGAAAGCAATTGGTAAGTGGTATAAAATTGTGAAGCACAAATCAAACAGTTCGATGTAATCTGAGGTGAAAAGCTTGATAATTGAGAACAAAGTTTGGAACTATCGGTATTAGAAGTAATTACGCTTATCAAAAGTTGACAATAATTTTCACATTGCCACGAAGCAGTTGGAACTGAACTTTCATAACCAGTATAATCACCAATTCCACTATACCATGAAGCAACTTGCCATGAAGTACTAGTTGTCAACAATGTAGATGACGAAGAACTTGTTGAAGTAGTTGTTGAAGTGCTAGTTGAAGTAGATGATGAAGTCGTAGTCGCAGAGTATGGAAGTGATGCAGTAAATGAAAGATCACATTTTTCAAAAGATGGGAAAACCATATTTGAAAGCAATTGGTAAGTGGTATAAAATTGTGAAGCACAAATCAAACAGTTCGATGTAACCTGAGGTGAAAAGCTTGATAATTGAGAACAAAGTTTGGAACTATCGGTATTAGAAGTAATTACGCTTATCAAAAGTTGACAATAATTTTCACATTGCCACGAAGCAGTTGGAACTGAACTTTCATAACCAGTATAATCACCAATTCCACTATACCATGAAGCAACTTGCCATGAAGTACTAGTTGTCAACAATGTAGATGACGAAGAACTTGTTGAAGTAGTTGTTGAAGTGCTAGTTGAAGTAGATGATGAAGTCGTAGTCGCAGAGTATGGAAGTGATGCAGTAAATGAAAGATCACATTTTTCAAAAGATGGGAAAACCATATTTGAAAGCAATTGGTAAGTGGTATAAAATTGTGAAGCACAAATCAAACAGTTCGATGTAATCTGAGGTGAAAAGCTTGATAATTGAGAACAAAGTTTGGAACTATCGGTATTAGAAGTAATTACGCTTATCAAAAGTTGACAATAATTTTCACATTGCCACGAAGCAGTTGGAACTGAACTTTCATAACCAGTATAATCACCAATTCCACTATACCATGAAGCAACTTGCCATGAAGTACTAGTTGTCAACAATGTAGATGACGAAGAACTTGTTGAAGTAGTTGTTGAAGTGCTAGTTGAAGTAGATGATGAAGTCGTAGTCGCAGAGTATGGAAGTGATGCAGTAAATGAAAGATCACATTTTTCAAAAGATGGGAAAACCATATTTGAAAGCAATTGGTAAGTGGTATAAAATTGTGAAGCACAAATCAAACAGTTCGATGTAATCTGAGGTGAAAAGCTTGATAATTGAGAACAAAGTTTGGAACTATCGGTATTAGAAGTAATTACGCTTATCAAAAGTTGACAGTAATTTTCACATTGCCACGAAGCAGTTGGGACTGAACTTTCATAACCAGTATAATCACCAATTCCACTGTACCATGAAGAAGCCTGCCACTCAGTTGTTGTTGCGGAATAAGTTGAAATTGTAGCTTCAGTGCCACTATTTGATGTAAAAGTAGAGAAATATATTGATGAATAAGGGAGAGTTGCTGTCGTTGGAATATTACACTCAATTAAGTCCTCTAAAACAAAATTTGAGATTAGTTGGTAAGTAGTTGAATAAAGCGAAGCACATATCAAACAATTTGATAAATATGGCTGCTGCACACTTAAAATATTCGAACACAATTTATTGCTATCCGTGGTGGCTGTGATGGCTGAAATAACTGCCTGGCAAAAGTTTTCACACTCAGATGAACTTGAGGGTTAGTAAGTATTGGTTCCTTGATAGCCACCAATCCCAGAAAACCAAGAAGAAATGACAACACTGTTCGAAGTGGTAGAAGAAGTTGAAGAGGTTGAAGTTGTAGTAGATGTGGAAGATGTGGACGTAGATGTTGTACTTAAGGATGAAGAACTTGTAGTTGAGGAACTTGAGGATGAGCTTGATGATGATGAAGATGTCGATATCAAAGTTGAAGTTGAAGTTGAAGTTGAAACCGAAGTTGAAGTTGAAGCTGAAGTTGAAGTTGAAGTACTTGAAACAACTGATATAGAACCACCAGCTTGTTGAGAAGTAGTTGAGCCACCATTGTTTTCAGAACCTGATCCCGAACCTGATCCGGAACCTGATCCTGATCCTGAACTAGAACCGGAACCTGATCCTGATCCTGAACCAGTTTCTGTTGCGCTTTGGTAACTATTGACAATCAAAGACGACCAAGTATATTGCGATGTATAAGCCGACAAAGTTGCAGAACCAACGGAGCTTCCGCAAAACTTCATTGATGCTGTCACAGATTGGCCACAGTTGTAAAGAGCCAAAAGTAATGTCATTGATAACAGGTTTGCGGATGGGTACTGTCCATTACACAGTATACAAAGTTGAATATTGGAGTATAATGAACCTTCAAGTGCCGAACACAAGTCAGAGGTTGCCGTTTCGCCGATGGAGGTATCGATGTTGCTGCAAATAGTTGTACATTCGGTTTGTGTAAGAAGTTCATGGCAATCAGATCTTTTTTGTAATTGGGCCTGGGGCAATTCCAACCCGACAGGGAAACTGAACGCTTGTCCAGAAAGAATTAATAGTTGAAATAATGTGATAATCAACATTGTCTTAAATTCCTATCATTAGTATTAATTTTTTATGAATTAAGTTACTCTACTCACAATAGAGTGTTACTGTTTTTCGCTTTTAAGTTTTTCAGCAAGTCATTTAAATTTTTATCGGCACTAAATGAAGCTAGTGTTAGACGGTTTAAATGGAAATGCAGTTGATAAGCATACGAAAATAAATATATTCGACGAAAGATATATGTTGAACCGAACCCTGATGTCGAGATTCCAAAGAAACTATTAGGGACAATATGATTTTATCTCAAAAGACGAAGAGCAAAAAAAGACAAGCAAGACTAAAAAAAAAATAAATGAAAGGGACTCATTTGCCTATTTATATTAAAAGACAAAACACGGAAAACTTTTTTGAGCTCTAGAAATTTTTATGCCACTTTTTCTTTTTTTAAAAAAAATTATAATTATTAATTATTAAATTAGTAAATATATGCTATACATTTAATTTATATTTTTTAAAAAATTGAGTAGGCATAGCCTTGTTGTTTACGCAACATTTTGTCCCTTTACTTTTTCCATGTATATATGCTTAGCTAAGCATAATAATTTTTTTTTTTACAACACACTAAAAATAAAACCAATATATGGGGCTTATCATATTATGATGTCAATCTCAATATCTGTGGGCATAATTCATATATAATAATAAATATTATTGATTATTAAAATAATATTGATTATCAACTTCACTTTTAACGAGCTAAAAATTAAATTTGTAAATTTTGAATATTCGGTATATATCTTACTAGAGCCGAACTTTTCCCAGAGTATTTAAAATTCGTAAAAATTTTATTTTTGTGGTTGGTGACCAACATATATTTTTGATACATGCTTCCAGGAAGACCCTGAGTCATCATATTCCTTCCATACATTTTTCTTTGTTTTCCTTCCACTTTGTTTTTTTTCATATATGTGAATATATATTGAAAATAAGCATTAATGCTTAATATTTGAATATTATACGTAGTAATTTATTGATTACTTTTTTTTAAGAAGGCTCATGTTATTAAATAATTAATACATAATTATGTTGAGAAGTAACTTGCCTTGGCAAAAGTAAGTCGGTATAATTATACAACTTCGAGTTACTCGAGTTATAACTCGAAGTTATAGATGCATATTGCCGCTCTATAGCATAGCATGGAACTACGGCACATCCCAATGTTCTGGGGGCTTCTATTGGGTACCGGCATCCTAACCACACAGTGTACGGTCAGGTTGGGGTTCCAGGGTATGCCTAGTAAATAATGAAGCTGTTTATGGGGAAGGAAACATTTTATTCTGGGCATTTCTTATTATTCTTGACAGCATCTTTTCTTTTTTCACCACATATCCCTCACTTGAATCCAATTTGTCTCCTATGATAGCTCTACAAGACTCAGAGCAGGTTCATAGACAATGTGACAGTGACTGGTCACGTCGGACTGTTTACATTTTTTTTCAGCTTACTCTGTGCTTTATATCGTTACATTTATTCCCGTCAAAGTCATCCTCAAGTATTTTCTACTTTTATCTATAATTTCAATATTTTATTTGCAGCTTATGAATCCACTAACGTATGATTTGTAAATTTTAACTATTTATATATATATTTTTGAAGTTAAATTTTTGATAAAAAAAAGGAGGACACTTCTTAATTATAATTAAAAGTCATATTTGTAGTTGTAGTTGTAGTTCTGAGAATCGTCTACTGTGGGGTGATTTGTTAAAACCACGAGAGTGGAAACCCTTATTTAATAAAAAAAAAATATGGAGAACTTTAAAATCCCACCAAAGTTTATTTATTATGCTCACCAGATAGTCTAAGAGTTGAATCAAAAATCCAAGAAAGATGATAAAGCAATAATCATGTAGAACTTAAGTTAAATATTTAAGATGTTCAATTCTTTGAATTTTTTTATTAAGTGGTAAAGTTAATTTTGGGGTTTGCTTGAAAAGTAACTTTTTCGAAGACCGTTTAGTGTTAAAAGACTTGAAGACTTGGCTTTAACTTTTTATAGTGGATTAGGCTTATTTATCAACAAAAATTTGATTTATTCAAATTTTCTAATTTTTAGATTATTAAATTATTGAATTATTAACAATATAATTTTAATTTTTAAATATTTTATCCAAGTTTCAGACTACGTAATTTACTGTTTTTTCTAATAGACTCCAATTTAAGGGAGCTTTAAAAAAAAGCTCAGTTAGGTAAAGGTAGAATCATGTAAACCTTGAATTAATACGATATAGCAAATATTGGTAAAAAATTTCTACAGTAAAGAATAAATATTTAATTATAAATTTTTATGGAAGTTAATTCTACTAATTAACTGTTCCTTAAAAAGCTGAAACGAAAGCTTTACGACATTTTTTGATGATCCTTGTTTTCTGGAGTTAATAATATCACACATAAGAAATCTGCGTTCAAAGCTTTCTTTTGTCGAAAGTATACTATTAAACCTATCATCCTCAAATATTTTTGTATTTTTATATAAAAATATGAAACCTATTTCTTATTTCTTTTTCCTTATTTCTTTTTTTAAAATATTTGTAAAAAAGGTTATCTAATTAGATACTTATAAGTAAATATTTTATAATTAAGAAATATAGTATCATAAGAAAATCTTAAGAAAAACAAGTTTTTACCTAGAATAGAAATTATCATGTGGCCAAAATAAGGTTTCTTTTATCTTTAGCTTTCTTCCTTTATTTCTTTAATTCCTTAACTCTTTAACTCTTTAACTCTTTAACTCTTTAACTCTTTATTTTTTTAATTTCTTTATTTTTTTTATCTGAATAGTTAGGGCGCTGAGTATTGTTGAGGAGTAGTGCGCCTCGACCAAAGTACAAAGCCATAAGTTGATATTATAGGTGTGACTTGACGCTCTGCTGCATAGCACCGATCGTCTGCACCTCCCCCAATGTTCTTGCTTATGGAAAATGAAATATTTTTTTTTCTTCTTCTACGTGTTGAATTACAATCAACTCCATATCTTCCATCACATATATCATACATATCATACATAATAAATCACTTAGGAGAAGGCGCAAATTCATATGAATAGCAGTACCATTGGGTCTCACTAAACTTCTTATAGGTCTTCTTTAGTATATTTTCTCAGCATAGTCTCTTTTATTCTAGTTGAGGTCTACTTCCGCGATTCTCTATTTATATCTTTAGCTACTATGTATTCGTTTGCTCGTCTCTGAATCTGCCAAAATGCATTACAAACAGGCTGCCTTAAATGGCAATGAAAGCGAGTCATTAGACCAATTATTTTTAAAAAGTTGTAATTTATTTTAAGAATCGAGCATTAAATTTTTTTTCCTATGTTTTGTTTTTATGTACATAGCTATCTACAGAGACAATTATTTTTCATGGTTAATGTCATAGATTGTTGTTACAACCTATCTATCAAAAAAAAAAATAAATAAATAAATAAACAAAGCAAATGCATATCAATACGATATTGTTTTTTTCTTAATAAAGCTTAGAAATCTACAAAATAAAAATAAAAAAAAAGAAATGAAAAGAAAAGAAAAGAAAAAAAAAAAAAAAAAAAAAGAAAAAGAAAAAAGAAAAAAGAAAAAAGAAAAAGAAAAAAGATAACGAAATATTCAAAACTTGAATCTATTTCAAAAAATAATGGTAATGCTTTTGTTTTTTTTTTGTTTTTTTGCTAAAGGCGGCTGAAGTAAGCATACTTCAAAAAAAATCTTGAAATTAGAATCTATCTCACTCATCCAAAGAAAAAAAAAAAAATGTTGTTCAAAATCAAAGTAACGCAAAAAAGTGTTTACTTAAAAATTGTTTAGTTTCTGCAATAATCAATTCCATTGCCTATCAAAGTATGAGATAATTAACCCGTAAAGTTATATTACACTTTGAGATGGTCATCGCTTAAGACCATGTCTTCATTTGTTTTAGAAAAAAGAAGAGGGGGTGAAGAGATGGATGATCCATCTCTAAAGTTTACTGTTACGCAAGCATATCAGAATAGACCCTAAATCACTATTGTTAAATACGCTAACCCCGAAGAAAAAAAAAAAAAAAAAAAAGAAAGGAAAAAAATTATATTTTTTTTACAAAGAGAAGTCGGACGGGTTGTTTAAAAACATTCCGGAGTAAGAAATTACAAATTAAAAAAAATACTTATTTAATATTTTTTTTCTTAAAAAGAGGTATACTCTATCCAGACTTTATATTTGAGGGTCTTTTTTATTTTTTTTATTTTATTTTGCTAACAATTGTTTATAAAAATAATAATATTTTTTGTCAAGTGACCCTTATTTTTCACATTTATCTATTTCTTTCTTTCTTTCTTTCTTTCTTTCTTTCTTTCTTTCTTTCTTTCTTTCTTTCTTTCTTTCTTTCTTTCTTTCCTTCGCCATCTTGATTTTAATTTATAAAGTACAAAGTCAATGCATATTGTCAATCTTATTTTCTAGCCTTTTACTTGAAATGTTTTTAGCGCGCGGGCATATATCACAATAAAAATTTGTACGGACGATTTATTTTAGTAGAAGAAATACTGGCATCTTTCTTTATGCAAATAAAACCATAAAAGATTTTAAAGTTTTTATCAATCATTTTTTTTTTTGCACAATTTTTTTCAGGTGTCACCATTGTAAATTGTTTGGAAAAGTTTTCAAAGAATATATATAGTTGGTTTTCAATTTTATTTTTTTTATTATTACAAGACTTTCTAAAAAAGTAATTATTATTATAATAGTATTGATATTACTTATTATAGAAATTTATATTAGAGTTTAGAATATTTCTCCTTGAAATATGCAGAAGATTCTAAAATAGAATAAGCATGAAGTTTATTTTAGAAAAAGATTGAAGGTAACATCTGCATCTGTCTTCACTTAATCAACCAATTTACTTTAAGAAGTTGCATATACATCAACTCTTACATCTGCCCCTTTTCTTATAAAAAATTTTTCAATATTTATTTATATTTATTTACTTGGGCGTTTAATTTGGTCGGAAATAGACGAACCGAAAAAAACTTTTCGGAAATCCAACCGAAAGGTTTTTCGGGAAAGTGAAATATATATTATATTAAGTCTAACTCAAATTATTTTCTCTCTCTATTGTCGATTTACATCCGAGCATGCTCATCTCGAACAGCATAAAAGTATTATAGGGGACTTCACAAATGTTAAACCGAGCTTTGAAGTATTTGAGATACGAAAGAGAAATTCTTTTTTTTTTCTTTCCTTTTTTTATTTGGCGAAATTTATTTTAAAATCGGAAATTAAACACAGCACATAAAATGAAATGATATCTTCATTTTTTTTTCTTGAAGAAAAATAATATTAATTTTGTCTTTGTTCAAATCTAACGAATAGTTCTTCCGACGTGCATTAGCTTGAAAAAAAAAATACAAAAAAAACGGAATCTCCATTGTACTCTAAAAAAAAACAAAAAATCACCTCTAAATTAATATCTCTTCGGATCTCAACGGCTTTTAGAAGAAGAAAAAGAACATGGTCTACATTCACATAAAAAAAATCATTTGTAAAAAATCAGACCATTATTTGGCTCATGGAAGAAAAAACTGTAAAGAAGGAGAAAAGATTCACATATGAAAATGAATATGCTAAGTATTTGGCCAGTTTAGGAAACGAAACAAAACATTAAAGGCTCAAAAAAAATTGATTTTTGTTATTAGTAAAAAAAAAAAAAAAAAAAAAAAAAGAAAGACAGAAACAACAGTTGAAATAAATACCATAGCTAGAAAGGGGGGCTTGTACAGAATATGGAAGGTTGACGACTAAATAAAATGATTAGAATTTGAGCCAGATGTTGAAATTAGATGTGCGTATATGTCTTTATATTAAAAAGTTACACAAATGTTTTTGGATTTAAAGCCAAAGGTTGGGACTGTAACTTTTAGCAAGATTTTAAAATATCAGAAATATTAATATTAATAACACATTATAAACGGTACATTTCTGGTTATTCACTAAAAATCAAAATGGCAAAGCCAAGAAACAAGATTTGAATAGAAACAAAAAAAAAAAAAATAAGATATATTTGATACTTAATTATGTATCAAATATATATCTTATTTCTTTTTTTATACTTAATTATGTATCTAATATATCTTATTTCTTTTATACTTAACTATATATCAAATATATTTCTTATATCTCTTTTCTTTTTTTTTTGTAATGAAGCTATCCTCAATTCCCATCAATTGAAAAGTATAGTCTTAAGCTTAAAATATTATGGAAGTATTAGTGAGAAGTCAAACTTTATACGAATAGGTGTCTAAGCAAACATTTATTTTCGTCTCCTTTTTTCAAAGTTGACGGCTTAATTGTAGAAATTTCCATAAATTTCAATGTTCCGTTTGTTTGTTTACATGAAATTATACGCGATTTAGTTTTTAGTTAATAAACGGATACTCGCGTCAGCGATTTCAAATTAACAGTTAAAAGACCAAAGAACAGGTAATTCCGAGCCGATCATTGTCTTCGTATCCTAGGTTTTTTTTAAGTTTTATGTACCCATGATAATTTCGCATAACTAACTGTAAATAAGTAACTTTGATATTCTTTTATCCATATATATAGTATTGTTATTCTTCAACACCAATTAGAAAGCAACGGGTTGCCTTAATATTGGATTTAAAATGCTTCTTTGGGCTCATGTTGGTCTATTCATTTATCCATTCAGTATTGTTTTTTTTTTTTTTCAATATCAATTAAGAAGCAATTAGGTGCCCTAATATTGGATTTATTTCTAAAATGCACTTCTGGGTTCATGTTAACTATTAGTTGCAAGAGAATTGATTCTCAGCTTAGGTATTAAAAGATTGGAATATTGAAAGTTTCTCAAAAGTACTATTCTGTCTATATAGTATCTACAAGGGTTTAAAAATAAAATCAAGTCTTAATTCCCCTTTATTTTTAATACAATAGGAAGAAAAAAAAATTGAAATCTTGTTATTAAAAAAAAATTGGCTACCATAATTTTGTTTGCAAAATGCAATGACGCGTCTTATTAAGAATGACAATTCAAAGGAGCAATATTCCGATACAAGCGAGCATTAATCGTAAATAAGCAATAATTATTTTATTATTTTTTTTATTTTTTTTGTCTTTATTATCCGATAAATTCTATTGTTAAACTTGTGAAAAATGAAAAGGGGGTATTCATATGCGTTTTTAGTTAAAAGTTCTGACTGGGTACTTGAAGTCATACATGCCACTCTGGGCAGCAGAAAGAATCTTCCACTTCTTTTTGTTGAGGGCTGGGGGGATAGGGGGCTGGCCGCTCTTTTCAAGAACCTCGCCAAGAATAACGTCCTTAGAGGAGGAAGCAATAATGTTGGTAAGCTTGTCCTCAGAAATAGCAGCAAGTTCTTGAGTACCAGCATTGCCGTCAGCAATGCGAGGGTTGGCAGCAGATCCAAGTTTTAACAGACCAGCAGTGAGAGTTTGGTCGTAATAGGCAATGCGGGGGTAGTTTCTGCGGTGGTCGCGAGCGTAGTAAGGGTTGCCAGCAATATCACTTGCAGGAAGAGTAGCAGGGTCAGTGTAGTGCTCGTTCTCGGGGTGGGAACTTGGGGAGGGCATACGGTACCAGGCGACAATGGGGTTACCCGAAGATCTGTTAGGCACCAGGGTAAGAAGTTGCCGTAACTTCTCCCAGATGCCCTTAGACATCACGGTGTATTTCTAATATGATAAGTTAGATATTGAATGTTGACATTGCGATATAATTATCGACATACCTTGGTAACAGGAACAGGGCCGCCAGACATTGTTGATGATAGTTATGATAGATAGAGGGGAATATTAAATGGATTGGGTGTGTGTTGATACCTAGATTGGTGGTGGTGAGGACTTTTTTTTTAATGTTAGGAGGACCAGAAATTTTTGGGTGGTAAGGAAAGAATTGGAACGGCGGTGGTTGGACGGGTGCTAGCCAATGAACGGGACGTGGTAGGTCAGACACATTTTATGTTTCTTATGTAATTATTATCAATCAATTTTGTAATTATTGTTATTAAACGGCTAAAAATCAGTGAAATATCATATAAACTTTAAGATTATACGAGCAACAACTTAAAAAATTAAAGAAAAAAAAAAAAAAAACCGCGCAGAACAAACAAAAAGCTATTGAAATTTTGTTGGTAAAACCGCATTCCGACGTAATTACTAGGGCTTAAAAAAATAAAAAAAATCTCATGGCATATATATTGATATGCATATATTCACTAGCTCATTGTGATTACAAGCTGTCGGATTCGTAAAGTCTACCTTGATCAATGCGCCGGGCACCGATAGATGTGTAGCCTTGTTGTTGGGTTTATTAATATCCCAAAGTTGCTGATATATAACTTGTACTGCGCACCTTACAAATGCTGAAATATCTATCTATCTATCTATCTATCTATCTATCTCCACACCTCCGATTAATAAAAAAAAATTAATATTGGCTCTTAAAGGCTCACTGAGTTTTTTTTTTAATTTTTTTTCAGTTTTTTTTTTTTTTTTTTTTTTTAAATCTCCGTCTTATTGTGAATTCACTAGTTGCCGTTGGTTCCTTGAATCTCTTTGTATTAGAACTTTTTTCTTTCATTTCCTTCTTTATTATTTTTCAACTCAAATTAAGCATATATTAAGTACCATGGACAATTATCATCATTCAGCGGCACCAACACTAGCTCCTGAGATTACAGCTATAGACATAAACCCAGCACTAGAAAATGCACCAAACAATACAACATTTAGATTACAACAACCAGTAAATGCTGCTGCTGCTGCCGCCGCTGCTGCTGCTGCTGCTACGACTACTACTGCTGCCACAACTCCTCAAACCCCATCTTCTCGCCGACACACGCACCGGCCAGGAACTGTACGCAACCCTCAGATTTTGTCTTACCGAAGAATTGTACAGACGCTGTGTTGGGTGCTGATGCCGCTTGTGCTTGCACGTATACTCATGTTTGCAATGGTCAAAGTTAATCTTCAAGCAGAAGTCCCGGCTCTGTGGCTGTTTTCAGCAACATCGAGTACCTCGGCGCTGGACGCCGTGGCACTTGATGATCATCAAGCCACCACAATTGTCACTGATGAAGGATCACCATTTCCCTCTTTACTATCATTTGTGTCATCTGTTAATGACCTAGAGGTACCTTCTTTAGAGGTCTCTGATACTGCTGATTCTGCTGATTTCCCCGCCAATACACCCTCAACATCGATACCCCACGCACAAAATCAAAAACCATCTAGGGGATCTACGGTAAAGAAAGCAGCTAGTGCAGCTAGTACACTGGAAATGCCACCAATGTTTAACTGTATTGTGGAAATTCTTGTGCATGATGCAGGTTATGACGAAAGCTCGGTGTTGACCAAGGCAACAGGCCTTGCGATGTATTTGGTCTATACTTTTGCAGTGTCTTTAGGACTTATTTTTTCGGCCCTGTTTCACTCATTTGGGTTTGTTTATGTTGTTGTTCGGCGCTGGACTAAGATGTGGAGGTTTTTACGTGCATCATTCCATGGTCATAGCCCGTTTGAAACGGGTGTTATGTAGATTAAAAAGAAAAAAAAAAAAAATTAAAGAAATAAATAAATAAATAAAAAAAAAAAACCTGTCGGGTCATGTCCCGGTGTTAGGTTTTGTGGTATAAGTCACAAGTTGTAAATCTTATATCTTGCCTCTCTCTCTCTTTTTTTTTTTAAGCTTGTACTTTCCCCTCCACCATTTCCTTTAACCAATTTTTGTCTCCACAACCAAAAAAAAAAAAAAAAAAAAAAAAAAAGTCCCCGCCAATTCACACTCAAAATCATCCCCGTGTGCCATCAGCCCACAACCAACCCAATCAGCCAGCAAGTCAATTACTTGTATATTTTTTATTAATTTATTTATTAAATTATCATCGTCATTATTATCACCATTCTTGTTTCTTCCGCCAGATGCACGCGCCTTGAGTGTGTGTCTCTATTGTCTCAGATACTTCTTTAGTATATATATATATATATATATTTTTATTTCCCTCTAGTGATATATATTAGCCTCTCCTGCTCATAATAATAAATAACGCGCAATGTCCCAGCCTTCTGCTGATGCATCCTCTTCCACTCCACCTGACTCGGACCCAAAACCTTCTTCATCCACTGCAAAAACTGAAAAGGAACAACAAGCTCCCACAAACTCGCCTGTTGTTACTTCGCATTCTTCTCATCATAAACAGATTGCTTCTTCGACACCCATTTCACTTCCAGACACAGCCAATACTGGCTACTCGCAGCTTCTGCTCATGGACCACGACGAGCGAACCGGCTCCTCCACAAAGGAAAACGGGCCCGATTCGGTGCCTTTGACCAGCACAAACGCCTTCTCCGGTACTCTCTCTGGAACCTCCTCTCCTCACATCACCTCCCCAACTACTCTTCATCACAGACCAGGTAATTCGCTGTCAAATACCCCACGAACAAGTACTGAAAGTGCCGCATCCGCCACCCAATCTACTACCTCTCATGTTCTTCTCTCCCCCAAAGCTATCGTCTCAACACCAGTCTTGAGTCATCCGGACGCCGACGACCATCATAGCATTCTTTCAGGTGAAATCTCGCCAAATACCGCTCGGCCGGCAAATTCAGTCCAGTTCCGCTCCGGTGATGGCTATGCACAAAGCATAATCAGCACAACTAGTTCAGACATTGAAAACCTCCCAAATGCTCAATACTTCCAAGATGTGCATCCATTGCTCACATCGCCCCTTGCCTCACCGCCTCATTCAAATGACCCTGGAGCACCTTCGATTATTCCCACACATACTGTCGATGACCTCGAAATTCGCAACTCTATTCACGGTGGCGTTCGTAATGCGGCCGGAACTCCCGACGGCGGTCCCGCGTCATCCCGCCCTGCACGGCTAAACCGCTCTCTTTCTGTTGTTTCCATCCGTGCCCTCAATGACACTGTCGACTGGATTGTCGACCAGTTCCATCGTTACAAGCGGGGCCGTCGTGGTCGTATGCTTGTACGGGCTCCCAGACCTAATGAAATTTACTACTCCGTCTTTAAACCTCCTAAAACCATGGGCCAAACTTTTTCACTCACAATTGATGATCTTCAAACTGGTAAAGACGGCTATGCACAACCACTCCAAGCCACGCAGGCCGAGTTTGACGCCATTATCGACGATGCTATAGAATCGATCGAGTCGCTGCATATAAACCCAAAGCTCATTTCTCAAGGCTCGTCCGGATCTTATTTTGTCTACAACACTTCCGGAACAATTGTTGGTGTCTTTAAGCCTAAGGATGAGGAACCATATGGCCCACTTTCGCCAAAGTGGACCAAGTGGCTTCATCGCAATCTTTTCCCATGCTTTTTTGGTCGCTCATGTCTCATCCCCAATAATGGATATATAGCCGAAGCTGCAGCTAGCTTGCTTGATCGTCAGCTTGGGACTCATATTGTCCCATTCACTGACATTGTTCACATGTCTGCACCTACATTTTACTACCGGTTCTTTGACCGCCGTAACTACCGACTTAAAGGCAAGCCCTTGCCACCAAAAATTGGATCACTTCAGCTCTTTTTGCATGACTATGTTCAAGCTGACCAATTTTTGCGCGACCACCCACTTGACAATACGCGCCGTCTTACACGCACTACATCATTTGCGTCTGGATTCCGCCCCCCACGACCAGAATCTGGTCCTCATTTTGAGTGGACCCCTCAAATAATTGCTCAGTTTCGCGAAGAAATTGAAAAATTAGTCATTTTGGACTATATCATGCGCAACACTGACCGTGGTCTGGATAACTGGATGGTCAAGCTAGAATGGTATGAGGATATTTCTTCAGACTCCCCGGAGGAGGATAATTCGGACGACTCAACAGTTACCGGAAGTGATGAAGACAATAAAAAGAAGAAGAAGAAACTCATTCCCTTTATTCGTCTCGGCGCAATTGACTCAGGTTTAGCTTTTCCCTGGAAGCATCCTGACGAGTGGCGCTCATATCCCTTTGGATGGCTTTTCCTGCCCATGATTCTCATAGGGCAACCCTTTTCCCAACGCACACGCGATCACTTCCTGCCACTTTTGACGTCATCGGAGTGGTGGGAAGAAAGCGCTGTTGTGTTTCGACATCTCTTCTCTCAAGACACTGAGTTTAGTGAACGCATGTTTAAGCGTCAGTGGGCTGTGCTCAAGGGCCAAGCGTTCAATGTTGTCGAGACTCTGAAGGACCCAGAACAAGGTCCTCTTGAACTTGTGCGCCGCACACGCGTCATGGTCTGGGACGATGAAATGGATGTACCTGTAAATGTGCCCTACGATACGCTTTCAACTGCCATTGAAACCCCTCTCTGGGCATCGCATAGCAACTTTGCACATCCCACTACCTCAGCAGCTGCTTACCCTCCTATGGGCCCGCCCTCTACGGATATATGGAAAAAGCGACCTGGTACAGTTGCTGGTATCGTTAATCGGCCCTACGCTGACGATCCAGACGAAATTGACGTTGCAACGGTTGCACGCCGTGCCGCACAGGCAACCGAGGAAGCACTACAGAATACTCGGAACGTCGCACCCATTAGCGGTAGTAGTGAATCAGCTCAAAATGGAGGTACCACTGCTGGTGACACCGGCCATGATTCAACGAAACCCCTTAAAAAGGGGAAACGTATGCGTGGAAGTTCGCTTATTTTGGAAGCTCGCTACAGGGAACTTGAACATAATTCAAGCGATCATGATGCAGGCAGTAGTAGTCACCATTCGAAACGTTCTAATGGTGCTACTGGTGCTGTTAGTGCTAAAAGTGGTAGTAGCGGTGTCATTAGTGGCAGTGGTGGTAGTGGTAGTACTCATGGCGCTGCGAATGGAGACGCTGCAGGTTCTGGGGCGGCTTCTGCAGCAGGGATTGCGGGGTCTGGACATGGGCATGGACATATTTATCACCACCAGAAGCCGTTGTTTGAGGATTTGATTGAAGCACCTGGACAAAAGAAAAGCACTGGCTCAAATTCTGGCAACACCCGGAGCCATAGTGACAGCCAAACAGATACTGGTAGCCAGCAACGCCTGGAGCCTTACCGCGACGATCCTTCAGCAGCGGCTGACGAGGATAATGAAGGGCTGCACAATGTGGGGTTTTCTATTGCGGAGGACTTTTCTCAAGCATCGCGCAAGGTTGTGGTTGAGCGGCTTCAAACAGTAACGAGCCGACCGCCCGTTTTTACATGGTGTTGATGGGAACTGTAACTATGAACATTAATCAATATAATTATATTGATTTGTGGTTCTAGTTATTCAACGAAGTTAAGCTTAACTAACTACATTATTGAGATGTCAAATTAACGTCGGATATTAAGTACTATAGTGTAATAATATTATAATTATATTAATTAACAACATTTGTATTTTATTTAAGCTTATGAGCTATTATTTGAAAAAAAAAAAAAGAAATGGGGATATATTAATTTAAGACGATCTTGTAAAATAAGCTTATTTAGATTTTTTTTCTATTTTCTACATATTTTTTTTGGCGCTAATGTTCATTGGAGATGGGCATAGTTTTCTATGACTTAGTCTAAAAGAAATTTACCGAAATTTTGACCAAAATCTATTAAAAAAATATTTGGTGGCTAATATTAATATATATATATCATTAACATAATCACCAGATTTATTCTCGGGCCGTTGGAGATGCAATGTCGAAGTCAAATTAAAAGTACTTTTAACATTAAACTAGTTTAATGTGAAAACGGAAAGATATAGTAGGAGCAAAAATAACAGCACTGATGCCGAAGATAATTTTCAATTCCTTGGATAAAAACAAACAACCAAACAAACAAACAAGACAATCACTATTTACTTAAAATGTATATATCAATATTAACAAAACTAAGGATTTAGAGATTCAAGGGTTGCTTCAAAAAGGAAAAATAAGATCTCAAAAAGTATGTTACTTGACTAGGTATAGTGTCAAACTCACCGAGATGAAAAAACGTATCTCGACAAGGGTTTATGATGCATATCATATTTGAAAGTACACTAAAAATACAAAAAAGAATCTTTTCATATGAAATGTTGAAAGTGTTGGCAGAATTTACTTGATATTCTATGTATTTATAATAATTATAAAGTTTTTCCCTTTCTTTTTTTTTATTTCAAAATAAAGCTAGACCAAAAGCCTCTGCATGCTCCTCTTTTAGGATTTGCCGGAAAAACCCTGTTACATACCCTATCATTGACTCTCAATAACTTTATTTTAATTTATTTTTTATTAGGCGGTTCAAGCGAGTGCTTTTATTTTTTTAAATATTTTTTCAAATATTTTTTCAAAAAATATATCCATTAGGTATGTATGTATGTAGCATATCATAAATGTATGTAGCATAGCACTATTGTGAAAATTTGTTCCTTCTTTCCGACACTAAAATTATAAATTTGATTACTTACATTTCCTTTGTTCCAAGAGCCCAAAAAAAAAAAATGAAAAAAATGAAAGTAGGGAAACCCCCAAAGATGAAAGGGTCCTATTTTTATCAACGTAAACCAATTTTATTTTATTCAACCAAATTACTAAACAAAGTAACGTTATTAAAAATTAACATCATGATAATTGTACATGATCATGTAATAAGCCGGTCAGGCTCATTAGTAAGTTGAGACAATTTCTTTAGATTTAAAAAAAAAAATTGACTCAATTTTCAGAGATCGTGATTACATGTTTCTGGAACTTCATGCTAAATATCCGAGCAGCTTTTTTAAAGCTATCATAAATTTTCTTATAGTGATTCTTTTTTAACTAAATTCTTATTCATTACGTTGAAATATTCATTACGTTGAAATATCACAAATATTAACTTACCTTATTAGGTATTTTAATAGTTTTCTACAGAAGTATCTCTCTAAACTAATAAAAAGATTCGTAAGGCTTCTTTTATAAAAAATACTATTTATCATACGCCTTAAATTTTAGTTTTATTTTTATTTTTATTTTTCAGTTTCTTCCTCAAATAAATCAAAGATCAGAATAGGTAACGAAGTCATGCGTAGTTCTAAGATGAGGAGTCAATTATGAACCAATTGATAATCCCTTATCCTATTACTACAATGTAATCGAAAAAATCGTTACGATTTTTCCTAATTCAAACTTTTTGAAATATATAGTTTTTCAGCTTAGGGTTTACAAAAATGGACACGTAACTAAAGAAACTTTTCAGTTCTTTTGATTTTTGTTTACTAACTGTTATCATTTCATACGTTGGTTTTGTCCATATACTTCCTATTGATCTTGTTCAAATGTAATAGCTAACCAAGTAATCTAGTTAGTTTCTACAGAATCTCACTCGACACTTGACAAAACTTGATTGTTTTTGTTTGATCATGGTTTAATGATTTGGAAGTTCTTCACTGACAATGTGAGGCCTTATACATTTTTGTAAATAATTTCAAATCAATGTACTAGTCCTCAAATGTTTTTCTTTTTTTTTGAATTTCTTTATTTTAAAAGTTTTGTCTCTTTTGGTTTATTTTGCAGAACTCATCTTTTGTTTCTGTTAACTTTTTCTTTTTTTTAATATATTCAATGCAGGTGACTTAAACATGTTGTTGCCTTGCAATATTTTGAAGATACTTGCTTAAAGACAAAGAAATCAAGATAATTTTCATGCAAGAGAAAACTGTGCTATAATTGAAAAAATAAATATCTTCGTTTATCGAGAAATCAAAGGGCTTAGGGAAATCGCTTGTTTTTTGTTCATAAAAAACAATTAAAATGATTTAATTCAAAGTGTAGTATTAGTGAAGCTTTCTCTATCTTTCACAAAAGCTAGAAAATCATATACTAGTTGCCATTTTTTTTTGTTCGTTTCACACCAATCCACAAGCGTATGTCACATGAACGCACTTCGTTATATGGATATTCTTTAGCATAGTCAGGGTATTAATCAAAATAAGAGTTGTTCTCTAAATAGATTTTTTTCTATTAAAGAAATTAATTATTATAAATAGGAACAATTTCAGCAAGACTTGAGATTTTTTTTTTTTGAGAGAAACTATCACCAAGAAATTCTTGCTTATTTTGAAGAATTACCATTCATAGTTTGTTTATATTCCTGTATGGTTACTTTAATACAGTTTTTTTTTATCTATTTATAATATTATAAATATAATCATTATCTTCTTTTTCCTATAGAGAAGAAACCCCACCATTGATTATTTACTTTAGAAATCCTTCAATTCTCTGAGTTTGGGGATTCCAGCTTTTTCTATTTTATTCAAATACAACCTCTTTTTAAGCTAATGACATTCCTTCATATTTGTTTCTAATTTATAGATTTTTATATTTATACGAAGTATTACAAAAGAAAAAAATACCTACTTTCGTTATTAAGTGTAAAATTTTGAGCATTTTTCACTATTTTTGTCATTTTTTTCTCAGGCCTCAATACCAAACTATATTAATAAATTTTTATATTTACATTTAAATTCAATAAAACTTATAATATTTTTTTATTCTATATATCAATATCAATCTTAATTTATTACTCCCACTTTTTCTTTCATTAGCTTCATTTCGTAGGCAAGCTTTTTATTTATTTTTCAATTATTCAGAGCTTGATTTTTCAATTAAATTAAAGTAGTTACGTAAAGATGTTTTAAATTTTTGGTGGTTTGAGTCAAGATATTCTTTTGAAAAGTTTCAATATGGTTTCTGAATCAAAATGATTAATTTATAAATTAAAGCAGAGTAGTGAGGAGCATAGTGGAGTAGAGTTAAAATAAAATAAAAAAATCTTGGTTGTCTATTTTTTTACATTTAACAATAGAGTAAACTGAGTCAAACCCGCGCGCGCACGCGCACGCGCACTGTTAAAATTAAAACCGTGATAGAAATATTTCCCTTTTTGTCAAAATTTTTGTAAATAAGTCAATCATATTCCTGAAATTTAAAGTTTTTGACCCAAATAGGAGCTTAAAATATCAAGTATGCGGCTCAAATCCTTTTTTTATGCAATATTAAATTTACTATGGGAAATTTGGATTTTTACTCATATTGAATTTTAACAGCGGCGCGCGCGCGCGCACGCGCCCTGACTCAAGAGTATCAAGTAATTACTGATAAGTATTTTTAAACATACAAATATTAAATAGCGCCCATAAACTAAACTAACCAATATGGTTAAATTCCAAAAAAAATTAATAAAAACAAAACAACATGGTTAGGAAAATATCAGACATAAAAATTGGAGGCATTTTAAGCGACTCTATTTTAATTAATTAATTCTTATTTCCAAACATTAATAATAAAAACAACATAGTTTAATTCATTTAGAAGTAAATGAAAATTAACAAAAATTCATAGTATTAGTTCTTTGTTTTGATTCAAGAAATATATGAATCAGTCTTGTCCTTTTTCAGGAAAGGTGGCACCACTGAAACCGATTTCAATCTGTACGCCTACGGTAGCCCAAAAAATGGACCCTGATGCCAACTTACAAGGTTGAGAATGAACCTGTTTTTCGGTCCGGAAAGCACCCAACCAACTTTCACTTATCTTTGCACATGCACATGTATTCCCTAATTCCTCCCGACACAGAGAAGACCCGTTTTTATTCTAGGGTTAAAAATATACCATTAGCATCAAGACTACCCTTTTTCCTCCTACTATAAATTCCCGTTTTTACAATAAACTTTTAATTTGACTTCAACAGACCAAAAACAAATTCTGATGCCAACTTACGAAGAACAGGAGGTCAACGACCAAACTTTCTTGACATATCCACCTGTCCTAATCAACGCTATAATTTTATTCTTTAATCCCCCTAAACAGAGATAATGTCTACGATTTTTTTCCAAGCTAATAAGATTGTTCAAGGGTCGACATATAAATCTCTGGAGATATCAGTTTCAATTCTTGTCTTTTTTCTTCCAGCAAAGGACACTTAACCGAATTGTGTCTAACTTTTTCCCGCTTGCCACACTTGAATTTGTTGCTATCCTTTTCAATTCCAAGCTTTTGAAACCATGCGTCAAAGTTTCCATGGCCCGTGAAAAACTGAATATCGTTACTCAAGATCTTTGGACCATTTTACTTCCGTGACCATTTCAGAAAGATTGTCAGTACATTTTGATTACACTGTGATGCTATAGTGCCACTGATCCTTGTTAATTTGCCAATAAATTCGTTGCCATCCCTCCATTGCTTGTTTCTTCAAAATTCCCAACACTTGATTCTATTGCTGCTTTAGTGTAAGAAACACAATGCTCTTGAGTCTTCTCATAATTCTTCATAATCAATTTTTTTTCACTAACATTTAAAGCGTGGTTAGCTTTGCAATTGGTGAATACAAATAGCTTTTTGTGCCACCATGAATTTTAATATAACACCATATGGCATAATACCAGCTTTTAATGATACCTATATAGGAGTTGTGAGATAAGCACGAACAATTCTGTTCTAATACTTATGCTATATCACTTCCAACTTATGGATTACTTCTTTCAAAATCTTATGATGCCAAATTTCAAAGTAGTATTCCACAATTGATTTCATAAACCTAATATATCAGGATCTGACTACAGACCCTCGCATACCTTTTTTGAGTGTTATCAAGACATCAAATAAAATCAACATTTTTTCTTGATTTGTTAGTTTTATTCAAAATGTGAGATGTAAAATTAAGCCGGTTGTTCAAAGTGATTCCAAGCAATTCAACCTTTTTCCAGGGTTCACTGAGTTTTACATTAGGTGATGTAAGTTGCACTTTTTCATCATTAGGTTTCATATTTTTTGTACAATGAATAAACTTCATTTATCACCAAAATCAAATTTTGTCAACCTTGATTTAGCCCAATAGCAATTTTTTTAATATGTTATTATACTAAAGCTTTTGATATCTTCTTCAATTTTACCTTCAACGGAAATTGTCACATCATCATCCACCCAGTTCTTTAATCCCAAGGTATATTTGTGTAGATATACCAAAAAAACTTAAAAGTGAAATAGGCGAGCCTTAAGAAATTCCAGTACTTATTTTTTGCATGGATCCTTTTCCTCGGTCATGAGCTTCTTTTTGACTTAAAAACTGATAAATCCTTTTTATAAACATTTTGGGTAGCTTCATTTCTTCCATTGTTTTTGCCAGGATATTTCAGTTAGCATATCAAAATCTCCTTGAATATTAATAAGCATAGCCGAATTTCTTTTTCTTCGGACAAGTTTCAAAAGAGCGTCAGGGGCACAATATCATTTTCTTTATCTATATTACACTGGTGAAAGCAAGTGTGTTTTAAGCTTGGTTATTCTTTTTTATAATATTCTCTAATACTTTAGATGGAATCTTAAGTAAGGAAATTGGTCAGTATGCTCTTGGTTTTGAATAATCGGGTTTCTTGGGGTTTGTTAGAAAGAAAATAATGTTATAGTTCTATACTTTTGACGATACCCAAACTTTACAAAAGTTTATAGAAGTTTGAATTATTTTTTCTCATAGTCTTTATTCTGCTTCGCCATCTTTAAGACTTTGCTCGTAATTCCATCATCTCATGAAGTTTTATCATTTGGGGTATCGGCTAATGCAGAGTCAACTTCATGAGTTTCTTATTAATACATCTTAATAAATAATATATTCATCATGAAAACCATTATCAATTTTAATCAAACGTGCCTTCCGCATTTTATTTATTTTTTCATCAACGGTAGTAATGAGAGTTCCCTTTTCTTTTCTAATTTGTGATGTAATGGTATCGGTAATTTTTAGATTAATATACTTTAAAATCTTCTAAATTTAGTTTTTTTTTAAACTAAGAATATATTTGTTTTATTAACCTTGTTTGTTTGCTTTTATTCAAGAGTTTTTAAATTATTTAACATCAGCATCTGCACTATCCTTTTTGTTCTTACTATATATTTTCATTTTCACAATAAACGTTTAGTTTGATTTCAACATTTTTATCAAACAGCCCACAAATGAAGTTTGATGCTAAGTCATGGGAAACAGAGAGTCGAACACCTTGATTGGTTGATTGATTGTTTGTTTGATTGATTGTTTGTTTTTATTCAAAGGTCATAGAATTATATAACATCAGCATCTGCGCTAACCTTCTTGTCCATACTATATATCTTTTCATTTTGGCTTCAACATTGCATCTCCATCAGCCCGAAAATAAGTCCTGATGCTCAAACACCTTGATATGACCCAGAATCGCAAGCATTTCAAGTAAGACTCATAATACAATATCAAAAAAACCTGCCTTTTTATTTTAGGTCACGTGGCAATCTGGCCAGTCTAAGGCATAGAAATAAGCTCTCTTCGGGGGCGATGGTTCAAATCCCTCGGTTGTCAGAATAATTTTTTATTTTAAATTGTTGTCATAAATTTATTTATTACGTAATAAATTTCCATCACTTCTCAATAGAATTTATTTATCTAAAGGAAATAAGATTGGACTATGCTCGCTTTCTTCTTTTTTCTTTTTAAAGTTGATATTATATATCATCATATAAAATCGCGATTTTTATTTGCTCCATGGATTTTATTTTCTATTGTCATATATATAGTTCAATCAATTTGATTTTTTTTTTTTCATTTATTGCAAAATCCTTGGTAATAAAAACTCGTACAGTAGTGGACAAAGTTTTTTTCAGAGCATACTAGTCTAAGTCACAGAAAAAAACAGAAAATTTTCAAGTAAGGTATGCTACTTGACTCTAAACGAAAATAATTGAAAAAGGGTGTCTGCATGAATTCCCATAGGAAAATTTCCGTTAATATGCAATACCAATAAGGAGGTTTTCAGTTAATGGTTCGATTAAAAATTTATGACAATTCTAGGGATAGATTATTGCGTCGCAACATTCTTTTGCTTTATGAGAGGTAGTAGGGTTCACATAGAATAAAGAGTCGGACAGGCTTAAGGGAGACCCATTTTTAATCTTTTTTCAAAACTTTTGAACATTCTTCTTTTTTTTTCTCCAATATTTCTACACTTTTTAATATTGTTTCTTTTACTATATGAGCCTTAAGATACCATCGAATCACTAATCAGTATACATTGAGATATATAAACCCAAGATTTAAAATGATATTTTAAATGAAAATTTATTTGATTTTTGCTTTCTTTTTAAATGATTATCATGATGAGTTAACTTACTATGTTGAGAATACTAAGCTCAAGTATAAATCCAAACTTCCTCTTCTTCTTCTTCTTCTCCAAAGTACTTTTTTATGAGGCTATATTTGATTCAGAAGCAATTCTAAGAGCAAAACCCGTAAATGACACAAGAAAAGACCCGGAATACCCGTTGGATCAACGATGCTAAATTTCTTATTATCTGTCTGTCCGGGTGTTGCCGTGATCGAGTTTTTGGAAACAGGTCTGTTGAAAAATAATGGATACTGATATTACTCATCAGAAAAAGAAAGATTAGTCATATTTACATTACCATGGCCAAGTCCGAAATGCTGGAGCTTTCAACTCAGAATGAATAATACGGCCTGACCGCGGCAACCTTAGAAACAGAAACAATGCCATCATCTGGAAGCTCAAATACAAATGCAAATCATCACGATGACTTGGAAAACTTTTCTTTTCAAAAATAAGACGTGGAAGATTTTTTGAAATTTTTTTTTTTTTCAGCTTAGATTCTTGCTGCTTATAAGTTTTAATGATGGCTGCGTATGCTGCGCTTGAATGCTCAGCCTCTCTCGCGGCTCTTTTTCTGTGGCGCGTTTCTACCTTTACCAGTGATGGGTTTAATGTGTGTGTGTGTGACTTCTTGAATTGTAGTAAGCTTTAGTATGTTAAAGGTATTTTTTTAAAAAAAAAAAACCATCACTACCACCACCATTTCTACCTTAAAAACTCTCAATCAAAGAATTTCCTTTCTTTCTCTTCTTCTTTCTCTTCTTCTGACTCTTTTTTTTTTTTGTTTCTTTTTCATATTCTTTAAATAAATATATAATATATATATAAAATCTCCGTTTGTACTAAATTTCCTGTTTTTAGGATAATCTGTACTTTCGTTCTTTGTTTTTTTTGGCTCCTTTTGCTGTCTTCTTTTTCTTTTGTTCCCACCAACGGCTTTATTATTTTTTTTAAAAAAAAAACACGCTCACAGCCACTATTCTTCTTTTCACATATATCTCATTTTTTGTTATATCTACAGATAAATACCACTACAAGTCCCGCGTTTAGATACACATCATAGGGATTTCCAACATTAAATACAAATATATCACATAGATATATTGCAAACTGCATTTGAGCACTCCTACCTTCTACTGATATCCCGCAGTTTATGACCATGCCTGGTCCGGCCCGTGTTTTCAAGCTTAGAGTTACCAGTATGTAATTGATATCATGCGACCTTAATATTTTTTCATAACCATAACTGACCTTTTTTATCAGTCATTGCGGCCGATGCTCTTGCAAAGAGAGATGTTTTTCGTATGTACAAATGCCCTTTTGTTTTCTTCTTCCCCTTTTATTTAGACAAGATTTGATTATTAACAAATCTACAGGGCTTCCCGACCCCTTTGCGGTTATAACTGTCGATGGCTCCCAGACAAAGTCTACTCAGGCCATTAAAAAGACTCTCAGTCCTTACTGGCACAAACAGTTTGATGTGTATGTAAACCCCCATAGCCTTTTCTCTATCCTTTTTTTTCTTTACTAATGTTTTTAGTGACGTGACTGAAAACTCTATCATTGCAGTCCAAGTTTTTGATCAAAAAAAATTCAAAAAGAAAGACCAAGGCTTTCTCGGTGTAATCAACATTCGTGTTGGTGATGTTATTGACCTTCATGCTGGTGGCGATGAAATGATTACAAGGGACCTTAAAAAGTCAAACGACAATCTTTCTGTTACTGGCAAACTTATTCTCAACCTTTCGACTAATGTTGCAGCCCCCATTGCCACTGACAGAGCCTCCACCTCAACTGCAAGCTCTACCCACAATGGCCCCGCATCTGTCGCATCTCCTTCTTCTTCTTTAAATAATGGCAGTTACAGCAGCCCCTCTAGCAGTTCTAACCGCGGAGTTTCTTCTAATGCTTCAGCCCTCGCCATGGCTGCTTCCGAGTCTGCCGCCTTTTCTCAGCAACAACACTCTCTCGCAGACAGTATGAACGAAATGTCTTTGAGTAACGGCCACCCTTCTTCTTTGACAGGGTTTTCTGAATCATCTGGTGGTGCCTCTGCTTCTGGTGGTGCTGCAAATAACAGATCTGTTTATTCTTCGTTTGAAGACCAATATGGCAGACTACCTCCTGGCTGGGAACGTAAAACTGACAATTTAGGTAGAACATACTATGTGGATCACAACACACGTACCACTACCTGGACCAGACCACCCTCAGATATTAACGAGTCTGATCAGCGCGTCGCTCGCCAAACAGCCACTGAGCTTGAACGTCAGAGACACCACAATAGAATGCTCCCTGAAGATTCCAGAACAACTTCCCCAAGTCCTGGAACTGAGTTTTCTCAACGCCCAGCTTCTCCTCATTCTCAACAGCAACAACGTGCACAGTCCCCCTCTTCTACTGCAAATTCTCAAAACATTTCTTCCACCGCAAATGCAGTCCAAATGTTAAACACCGGCGCCACTACTGCAGGCCTTGGCGAACTCCCTGTTGGCTGGGAACAACGTGTAACTCCTGAAGGTCGTCCTTACTTTGTCGACCACAATACTCGCACCACGACATGGGTCGACCCCCGGAGGCAACAATATATTCGTACATATGGGAATGCTTCGACACAGGGAAATATCCAGCAACAACCTGTTTCCCAGTTGGGTCCTCTTCCAAGTGGCTGGGAAATGCGGCTTACAAACACCGCCAGAGTTTACTTTGTTGACCACAATACTAAGACTACCACCTGGGACGACCCTAGACTACCTTCCAGTTTGGACCAAAATGTTCCTCAGTATAAGCGCGACTTTAGACGCAAGCTCATTTACTTCCGTTCTCAACCAGCTTTGCGTGCCACTGCTGGACAGTGCCATATCAAGGTGCGTCGTGGCCACATTTTCGAGGACTCTTATCAGGAAATTATGCGCCAAACTCCAGCTGACTTGAAGAAGCGTCTCATGATTAAGTTTGAAGGTGAAGAAGGTCTTGATTACGGTGGTGTTTCCAGAGAATTTTTCTTCCTTCTTTCTCATGAAATGTTCAATCCGTTCTATTGTCTCTTTGAATATTCGGCTCACGACAATTACACATTGCAAATTAACCCTCATTCCGGTGTTAATCCAGAGCATCTTAATTATTTTAAGTTCATTGGGCGTGTTGTTGGTCTCGCCATTTTCCACCGTCGTTTCTTGGATGGGTTCTTCATTGCTGCCTTTTATAAGATGATTTTACGCAAAAAGGTAGTTCTTTCGGATATGGAAGGTGTTGACGCTGATTTTTACCGCAATTTGGAGTGGACACTTAACAATGATATTGATGGCATTCTTGACCTAACCTTCTCCGTTGAAGATGACTTATTTGGCAAGATTGTTACTGTCGATCTCAAACCTGGTGGACGCGACTTGCCCGTAACTAATGAAAACAAGCGTGAATACGTTGAGCTTGTTACTGAGTGGAAGATTTCACGACGCGTTGAGGAACAATTTAAATCGTTTATGGTTGGTTTCAACGAGCTAATACCTCAAGAGCTCATTAATGTTTTTGATGAACGCGAACTTGAGTTGCTCATTGGTGGTATTTCAGAGATTGATGTTGATGACTGGAAAAAGCACACTGACTACCGTGGTTACTCGGAGAATGATGAAGTCATTCAGTGGTTTTGGAAGTGTGTCCGTTCTTGGGACTCTGAGCAGAAGTCGCGTCTCCTGCAGTTCACTACAGGTACTTCGCGTATTCCTGTTAATGGCTTCAAGGATCTTCAAGGTTCAGATGGCCCTCGTCGGTTTACAATTGAGAAGGCTGGTGAACCTGATCAGCTCCCTAAATCACATACATGTTTCAACCGTGTGGACCTGCCGCCGTATAAGGATTACGAGACACTACAGCAAAAGCTTCTTCTTGCTGTAGAAGAAACTGTTGGTTTTGGCCAAGAGTAAAAAAAAAAAAGAAAAGAATCCAAAAAAAGTTAATTTATTATTTTTTATTTTTATTATTTTTCATTCATTTATTTTTGCAACCATTTTTTATCAAAAAAAAAATCACCTAAAAAAATTTCAAAAAGCAGAAACTACAAAAAAATAACGCAAAACGTATAAAATTGTTTCAACACTATAGTTTATATTTACTCTATCAACTTTTTTTTTTTTTTTTTTACAATCGAGCGCTTTTGTTATCCGTAGCCAGTTTTTTTGCTATAGTTTCTTGGTCCACTTCATTCATCCAATCTAAAACAGCACTAACAACTTGTTCACTGTAGTTGGCTCTTTTTTCACTAGGCATGTAGGCACGAGGTTTACCGTAAAAGTTATGATCTGCATTGGGAACTAGAACAAGCTTTTGAAGACTATGTGGTAGCGGTCGCTGGTATATCCATGGCCGTTTATTTGTACCGTCAACCTTTTTCAGAGAGTCTTCATAACTACCAGTAATTGAGAATTGCTTAACTAACAAGGGCAACGGGTCAGTGGACGAGTTTTGCGACTCATGTACAGCTCGTGCAAAGTGTGTAGTATAGAGGAACGCGTCCATGACTGGAACAATGTGATCTGCGTCGCCAAACAACGTAAGAAACCTCGATCCCTCCAGGTTTGAATCCTTCCCTTGACCCCATAGTGAAATCAAAATGTCAAGAAGTTGACCAATTGGTACAGAAGAAAGATCTGCAATATCACTGTAAGAAACCCACGAGTCTACCACTTTTCCGGACGCTGGTCGGCGCAGTGTGAGCCTCTCACCCCCACGTTCGGCAAAGTCTGGGAGCCGGTGTAAGTATGATTCCATGAGGTATGAAGTGCGATATCTCCCCGAGCAGCTTGCAAGAAACCGGAGTGGAGACGCCAAAGGAGCTACTCCAGGGGTAGCATGGTATTTAAGCGTACGAACGATTTCAGGAAGTTGTTCTGCGTTCAAGGACTGAAGTGCGTGTACTGCAGACCAAGCAAGGAGACTATGGGACCCACGAGAATGTGCAACTCCACCAACAAGCTCTAATGGTCTATAGCCTTTGGTTTTTGCGGTTTTATTATAGGCACGGATCCATTCAAGAACTGAATCAAGATCTCGGATATCATTTTGGATGGTACGTGAGACAATGTTTGGAGGGAAAGAGTCACCGCAGGCCATGAAATCAAAACGCAATGTTGCACGACCAGTCCTTTTAGGAATTTCATGGGCCAACAGTTTCTGATAGCAGTAGTCTTTGTGACCTAAAAATCCATGTAAAATAAGAATAGTTTCGACAGGTTTTTGCGGGGGTGTTGAGTCATTTGCGTTATGATTCGGGGTGCTTTCGGGGACGCACAAACGGCCTTGAAGAAGGAATGAAGTCCCAATTACTGGGATTGTAATGTGAGATTCCTGAAAATCGTGAAGAGTCATAATTTTTAAATAAATAAAAAAGATGTGGGGAATTAAAAACCAGAGTAATTAGGAAGATAAGTAAGATTATTTATATAAATGTCTGGCATGGCAAGAAGTTCCCCGCGCAAAAGACTCGAGAGAAGCTTTGTGATGAATGTTCAATACCGAGGCTACTTTTTTATGTATTATTGTTATAAGATATATAGTCACGTGAATTTAATAGTAACACTTTTTTTTTTTATAGATAATTATAATTATAATTATATCGCGTATTATATAAGCATGGAAATTGGCTTTTTTTTTTTTTTTTGTTTAAACGCGTCGCCACTCCAACGAAACCACTTTTTAGTCGCCATAACAAAAAAAAAAAAAAAAAAAAAAAAACATAACCAACTCAACTGGCTATTAGCAATTTAACTTTACAAAGCAACCAAAATACAAACTTTAGCAATTTTGATTTTTCTTTTCCCTTCTCTCCCACCCATTTGCAAAATCTTACCTATCAGCGGTGCTATTGAAAGAAAGAATTTATTCAGTTATTAATAATTCATATTGGATTTATAAAGTCTCCTAATGAAAAGCAGCAACGTGCGTGACAGTCCTCTAAAAAACGCCATTGGAATTACTTTTAGAAAGCCTGTTTCTGAAAATCGGCATAAATCATCTCCAACTGCCTCCAGATTAAACGTTGGTACAGTTCCTTCAATATCGACTGAAAAATCACCTTTTAAAGAATCTGCAGAAAATCCACGCACTCCAGCAGATTTCAAAGGCAAAGGTATAAGCGCTAAAAGAGGCGTCAACTTTAGTCTATCACCAGAACCGCGTGCTATTGAGCGTCAAGAAGAACGATGGCTTCAACAAGCATTATTTGAAAGTGCAGAAAAACCGGTACCGTCTTCTGAGAAAAGAAGCGCACTTACAGATGTTTCCAATAGTCCGCTAAGGAAACGTCAGAAAATAGTCAATACAGATAAAAAAGAAGATCAGAAAGCCGCCATAATATTACCAGAAATTAGTACACCCGTTAAACCCCCGGTGAAGGTTTTTAGAGATGATCGTATTCAGACTGAAGAAATACAACCAATTAAAGAGGAAAATGATGATGCAATCACGTCTGCGACTGTGACTGCTACATCTGAGCCAGCATTAGTTGAGGATCCTTTTAGTCTTGATACATTGACTGCAAACTTACTTATAACGGAAATTGTTGATGTAAATGCCAAAGAGGCTGGTATCAGAAAGCTAGGAACAGGAACCACGACTTCTGCGACTTCTGCGACTTCTAGGGACAGATCTCGCAGGGGAATCGCAAGGGTCAGAGGTCGCCGAGGTCGTCGCGACCAAGAGAAAAGGGATGAAGAAAACAAAGAAACTACTCCTGAAAAAATACCGGAGAAAGCTTCGGCAAAAATTTTACGGAGGCGTAAACGAGATGTGGAAATTTACCAAGTTTTATCGCCTCCACAATTACATAGTTCTTCAGATGAACAAAATAAAAAATCACAACCGGAAATCGACGAAGTTAGTGACGACGAAGAAAATGTTTTTGAAAAACAAAATCCAGTGGATAATAACACAACCAAGAGCATACCCCAAACAAAGCTTTCTAAAAAAGTTAAAAATCGAATTGTTCAACCGGAGTCGCTGCTGCCCATCCGTCATTTTGTGAATCCTTCTATGACTGAAATGATGAAGCGGAAACGGTATCGGGAACAAGTTCAAAATCAAGATGTTAGTTTTACGCAACAGATGCGTGATGCTGATGACTACATTGCTAGTGAAATTGTGTTAATTGACACGGAAACCAATGATAAATCAATCGAGCAAAAGTCATCAGAAGCAAATAAAGCTGTGGGTAAAATGCAAAGTAAACACCCATCTGTTGTCAACTGTCGAAAATCTTATTCAAGGCGGTCTTTACAATCATATCCAGAGACTTTGGATGGTTCAGATGATCAAAAATCTAGTATTTCGAGCAGTAGAAACGACTCAAGTACATCGCCGGAGTCTGTGTATAGTATGGGAGAAGCTTATACAGATTATGATTCCACACCAAGGCAGCTGCCACTTTCGCATGCACTGAAAAGACTACCCACAGAAAAGGAGCGTGAAGAAAAACGCAAACGTGCTGAAACATTTGCAGCTTTGAGAGAAAAGTTTGCCCAAATTGATAAGTGGAAATTACGTGTTGATTCAGTTGATGTCAGTCCAGATGATGCCTCATTTTCCGGTTATGCAACTGTTACTAAATCGTCATCGGAATCATCACAGCAATCATCCCCAGCTCAGTCTTTGGGATCATCACCACCCTCTGAAGCTGCTGAAGAACAGAATGTCAGCATCACTAAAGAAACCCCAAAAGATAACTCACATAAATCGGCGTCACCACAAATAATATCTACCCCACCAGTGTTACGGCGCACACGACAATCTTCATCACAAGAAGAATTCTCAGAACATGATATTGAGTTGATTGATGATGTCACATTTGAATATAGCGACTATGAAAGTTTGGAAGACCTGGGCAAGATGTATTCATCTAGCGAAGGCGACATTCAAAAAGAACTTGACAAAAGGATTTCTTCGAGGTCAGAATCTTTGGAAAAACCAACAACGTCTCGAACCAACTCCGTGCTTTTGACTAAGTCTACAACATTGGAACAAACAACGACGTTAGAAAAATCGACAACAGTGCTGAATAAACCAGAAACACCTCGGATTAAGTCTAAAAAGAAAACCAAAAGCTCTCCTAAAGATACCATTTCTTTCATATCTACCCCTAAATCTCCTTCGAATGATAAACTTAAAACAACTGAAATTCCTCGCAGACGAACACGATCAACTATAAAGAATTTAAACACTCTGAGTGCAAGTGAGGATGAAATCGAGTTATTGGAATAGGTATTTCATTGTTTTAAAGTTGCTTTTTTATTTCGTTTATGTATATGTTTCTTTATTAATAGAATTATTGAGGTCTGTTGCTTGTATTCACCTAGAAATATATTGCTTAAATAAAAAACAATTTATTTCTTCTTTATAATTATAAAGAAAAAATAGGTTATAACCAATTATTGTTAATATAATTAATCTAATTATTATTGATTTTTTTTTTTTTTTTTTTTTTTTTGGGGGAAGAAGGGTATATTTTTGCATGTCATTGAAAACTTGTAAGAATATTATCTCATTTTGTGTAGAAGCTTGAAAATGCGTCTCGATACCCGATTAAGAGGATCAGGGAGTCAACGACCATACCTTTTTAACTTGTGTTCACTCAAAATTAATGATAATTTTTTTTTCTGTGTTTGATTTTTTTTTATTCAACAGTTAAAATTAATGGTAAATTATTTGTTTTAATTCAAGGGTTATAGAAGTATATAATATCAACATATGCGCTATCCTTTTTGTTCTTACTATATATCATTTTTATTTTCATTTTCATAATAAACTTTTAATTTGAGCTTCAACACTGCATCTCCAACAGCACGAAAATGAATCATGATGCCAGCGTACAAGGAACAGGGGGTCAAAAAACCAAACCTTCCCAACTTATCTCCACTTGTCTTCATCAACGTTGTAATTGTATTTCTTAATCCCTCCAAGCAGAGATAAAGCTTACAATCTCTTGTAAGCCAGTTAAACTGTTTAAGAGAGTCGACATGTCCATCTCTGGAAATATCCGTTTCAGTCCTTTTCTTTCCTCTTCAAGCAAAGGACACTCAACTAAAATGTGATGAACTGTTTCCAGCTCTCCACATTTGCAGTTGTAACTATCCTTTTCAATTCCAAACTTTTTAAACCATGCGCCAAAGTTGCCATGGCCTGTGCGAAACTGAGTAATATTACTCAAGATCCTTCGACTATCTTTCTTCATGATCACTCCCGTAACCATTTTGGAAAGATTATCAGTACATTTCGACTCCACTGTGATATTATGATACCACAGATCCTTACTGCTGTTCCAATACATTTCCTGCCATTCTTCTATTGCTTGTTTCTTCAAAATTCCAATCGTCTGATTCTGTTGTTGTTTCAGTGTAAGAGGTTCAACCCTCTTGCATTTTCGTTTTTCATCCTTTTTAATCATGTAGTTTCTATCATCTTTCGCCAATATGTAAAGCGTGGTTAGCTTTGCAATTGGAGATTTCTCAATCAATGTTAACAAATGACCATTAATAGGATTAGTTTTGCTAATATTTAGGTGTAAACGAATAGCTTTTCGTGCCACCATAAATTTTAGCCTAATACTATATGGCATTATACCAGCTTCCTTTTGTAATACCGCAATAGGAGTTGTGCGATAAGCACCAACAATTCTTCTTAAAGCCATATTCTGCATTACTTCCAACTTGTGGATTTCTCCTTTCAAGATTTTATGATGCCAAATTTCTAAGCCATATTCAACAATTGGTCTCACGCAAGCAATATACAGTGATCTGACTGCAGACCCTCGCATACCTTTTTGCACGCCTCCAAGATGCCAAATAGCACCAACAGCTTTTCTTGCTTTATTGATTTTATTCAAAATATGAGATTTAAAATCAAGCAGATTGTTCAAAGTAATTCCAAGCAATTTAACTTCCTTCTGGGGTTCACGAAGTTCTCCATTAGGTAAAGTAAGTTGCACTTTTTCATCTTTAGGTTTCACATTTTTTGTAAAATGAATAAAACCCAATTTATCACCCAAATCAATTTTGGTCATCCTTGATTTAGCCCAATTACAACATTTTTCTAATATGTTGCTTAAGCTTTTAGTATTTTCTTCAATTTTACCTTCAACGGTAATAGTCACATCATCAATAAAGCCAAAAGGAGTTCCACCCCATTCTTTAATGGCATGATACATTGGTGTGGAATATATCAAAAAAGTAGTGGTGAAATAGGTGAGCCTTGCGGAATTCCAGTACTAATTTTTGCACTGATCCTTTTCTTCGGTCCATGAGCATACTAGCTTCTCTTTCACTTACAAATTGGTACGTCCAGTTTATAAGTGCTTTGGGTAGTTTCATATCCTCCATTGTGTGTGCCAATATATTTCTGTTAACATTATCAAAAGCTCCTTGAATATCAATGAGCATAGCTGAAATTTTTTCTTTACTAGTTTCAATTCTTTGGACAAGTTCCAAAACAGCATCAGTAGCACAATAACCTTGTCTTCCCCCATATTGCTCTGGTGGAAGTGAGTGTGTTGTAAGCTTGGTCATTCTTTTTTGTATAATTTTTTCCAGTACTTTAGATGGAATCTTAAGTAAGGAAATTGGTCGGTATGCTCTTGGCTTTGAATAGTCAGGTTTCTTAGGTTTAGGTATAACAACAATAATGCCATGTCTCCAGACTTTTGGGTGGTATCCAAACTTCACACAAGCTTGGAGAAGCTTGAAAAACCTTTCCTTAAAGTCTTTATTCAGCCATGCCATCTTTAAAACTTTGCCAGTAATTCCATCGTCTCCTGGAGCTTTATCATTTGGGGTATCAGCCAATGCAGAGTCAACTTCATCAAACTCTAATTTTGGCCATCGAGAATCGTCATCAATTTCAAACTCTCTATCAAGACCATGATCAATTTCAGGTAGAAGTGCCTTCCATATTTCATGTCTTTTTTTCGTCAACAGTAGTAGTGAGAGTTCCATCTTCTTTTCTAATTTGTGGTATAATGGTATCATTGCTTTTTGGATTAATATACTTCAAAATCTTCCAAATGTCATTTCCTTCTAAACTAGACAAATATTTATTCCATTGCTCAGTACTTGCTTCACGCAAACTGTGGTCAAAAATTTTTCTAGCTTTTTTCGCCTCTTCAATTTTTTGTCGTTTCAAAGCCAAAGAAGGTTGTCTTTGACGGGCTTCCCTTTTAGCTTCTAGCGCTTTTTCTAACTTCTCCCTTAATTCTTGATTCCAATAGCGTTTGGACTTTTTCATCACCTTAACTTCCTTCATCGACTTTGCCATTGCTCTTTTTACAACCTCCTCAAGAACTTTAGCTTGGTCATCAATTTGGTCAGTTGATTTTAGAGTTTTGTTATGCACATTAAAATCTTTAATGGCAGAAGAAAGCTCCTTGTCAAACTTTTCCCAATCTGCATTTTTAATATTCAATCTCTTCACCTTTCCCTAATAATAAAATATTGTTTGTTTGTTTGTTTTTATTCAAGGGTTATAGAACTATATAACATCAGCATCTGCGCTATCCTTTTATTGTCTGACTATGTGACTTGCCGGTTTTCATTTGTACCTTTTTAGTACTGGTGGTTTCTGTTCTGTGCGTCTCCGGTAGCCCGGAAGATGGGCCCTGATGCCAGCTTACGAGGAACAGGGAGAACCAGTCTGTCGGTCCCAAAACCTTCCCAACCCATTTCCACTTATCTTCACGGACGCCCATGTATTTCTTAATCTCTTCCGTCAGAGATACGGCCCGCAATCACCTGCAGGCTATTTAGACTGTACGGAAGAGTCGGCATTCCTGTAACCAGGGTAGCCTATGGTTTTCAGTCTAGGTGTATACTCCCGTACACATCCTCAGGAAAAGGGGGTATTCTGGGAATCGAACCCAGTATCTTCCGCTATCGAGCGAACGTGTTACCCTTTACACCATCCAGCCCTTTCCCCTTCCCTTAATAATAAAATAAAAATAATGCTTGTTTAAAGTATATTCAATTTGTTGATATGGATAGATTTCATTATATTTTTAAGTCACATGATGACTCCGTGGCCAAGCTGGCTAAGGCGCACGACTGTTAATCGTGAGATCGTGAGTTCAATCCTCACCGGGGTCGTTTTTTTAATCTTTTGTTTTGTCAAGTTTAACGGAATTATTCAACTGACTATGGTAATTTTTTTTTTAATGGGATTTATTATATACCTAAGGTATTTAGCATATATAGTTGTATCCAGGATATGAACAAATTGTTTAAACGGAAATGCTTATAAGGCTTTCGTGAATTCTAGCTCTTCTCTTTTTTAGCCGCTTGTGACCAGGTGACACTGTAAGTCTTTTGGACGTTATAGGTATAGATTGATCATAACCTTCATATATATATATAGAAGAAGCCGATGGTTACAGATGATGAGTGATTCCTATTGATAATGGTACTTTTAACCTCTAAATTTGATTTATCAATAGCTCGAGAATATATAATCTTTTCAATTCCTCTATCGGCCTCTGTTATTTTATTGATGATTTGGATATGTGAAAATAGGAAGGTAAATCAAGTACCATGAACCTGTTGGTTATAGCTTTTAGTCAACAATTACTGTTAATTTTTTTTTTTTTTTGTTTCAAGATATTCTGCTCATGGAATGGTTTTATATTTTTATTATTACTAAATGTACAAATTAAACTGTGCTGAGGGAACTTTTTTCAAAGATATTTCCCCTAGCCCTTGAGTAGCATAAATGATGTTGGGGGAATTGGTTTTTCATTTTCAATTTAAATGTTTTATCATTTCAAATTATATATGTTGAAATTAATAAGAGACCTATAATTACAATTTCTATTACATCACAATGTTCCTCATTCATTTTTAAATTCACTTCTCTGGTTTTCAATATTATATATATAATAATATATATTGACAGTCAATTTTCTTAAATAATATATTATTTTATTTATGTAAGTTTTTTAAACCTTGCAGTAATTATTTTTTTAAAAAACTGGTAAAAATGAGATTTAGTTATTTGATCATTATAATGATTATAAAAAGAAACAATAATTTCTAATGTACAAATTTTGAAAAATACAAAAGTTTAACGGTTTGATTTATACCTTAGCCCTATTGGAATATTACATTTCAATTTATTAATTATCTAATTTTATCATTTCAATAAACTAAGTTTTCAAATTTTATAAACTTATAATTAATAATTTTTGGTGATAAAAAATTTTTTTGAAAATACCCGTAATTGGGTTTATTCAATATTTAAATTTACCCTAACCCTGGCGTATCTAAAATGTAAATGTAACATGGTTTTATAATAAATTTTATTAGCTATTATTGTATATTTCAGAATTTACATTTTGAAATAGTACTAACTTACAAATATGTCTAAAATTTTTGTTTTTTTGTTGGATATTGTCGCAATCAAAAAAAAAGTATTATTTTAAACCGCAAGTGTAAAAAAGTCCTACCTAAACCTAAGGTAATAAATAAATTGTTCATAATATGATTTGACAGGTTTAATTTCTTTTCCGAAAACATTATTTTCAATTAATATAGAATAAAAATTAATTTTCTATTTTAAAGATAATTTTCTTATCAATTGAATTTGCAGACAAAATAAAATTAGTTCTTATGACACTTGGAATTATGCCATAATTCTTGACGAATATCCCAATTCTACAAATTGAAAAGTTGTCTTATTTTTGTACTGAAATTCTGTGGTTGAGCTTGAAAAAAAAAAAAAAAAAAAAGATGCTTCGCCCTAGCCTTTTTGGAATAATAATTTAATATAGAAATCATAACTTAACAGAAATTTTTATGATTGCTAATTTTATTCCTACAAACAATAATTTCATGCCTTGCAATGTGAAAGCTTTGTTTTGAACTTGTAAAAATTTTGTCAATTGATTTTTTCTCTGTATTACAAACACTAATGACACCCTAACCCTTGACATTTTTAATGATATGGGACAAGTAATGGATAATATCTTTCATTATAGTATTTTTGAAAGTTTTTTACATACAATTTAGACAGTATTTCTAGATGAAAAAGTTGTTTTTGGTTAATCTGAAAACTTATTTATTTATTTATTTATATTCATCACAATCTTTATCATTTTTTTTTGTGTTTCTGAATCCTCCAGCTTAACACTAATTGTCTTACTTAACCCTCAAGGTTCTCCAATCATGCCCTTACCCTTGAAGTCCTGCCTAAAAATTGGTGCTTTTTTTGTTGAGCTTTCAAATATGCGTATAATTAATTTCAATTCAGCATTTTTAAAAGGTAAATATTTTGGTTTACCTAATATGTAATTTTATTGTTAAGCCTTTTGAGCTATTGAATTTGTATTTGTATTTGTATTAAATCCCCTTAGAGTATTCTGGTAAGCAGACAAAAACCATTTTAAAAAATCAATTATGGTAGCTAAATGAAAAATGTATGTATTATTATGTAATTTATGCATTTGCACAAGGAGATTAAAAGTGTGAGAAAACAGGATAACGAGGCGATGATGGGTTTGGAAACGAGGAACTACATAGGAAGGTAGTTAAGGATGGAACATAAATCAGGATTGGTCATTTATACAGGGATTAAAAAAGAAAAAATACTAATTTTTGAAAAACTCGTTATTTACTTTAAATTTTTTTTGATTACTTATACTGAGATTTCAGTAAAAGGTGGAGAAACAAAACTAAGTAGTTTTAATAATATGCCAAGGGTTTCAATTATGAAAAGTATAAACGATCGTTTCTCGCGCGAGAGAGAGGGTTAGGAATAACTTTTTTCTGTTTTTGAATTAGTCAAAAAAAAACTTATTTGAAACTCTGCTCGTATGAATATTTTAAAAATTTGCTCATGATTTTTAAGATAAGTTTGATTTAATTGAAAAAGAAAAGAAGAGAGCAAATAGTTTATATTAATATATAGCCGGGTCAATTTTTTTTTTTAAATAATTGGAAGAAAATTGGAATAATATTTTCAAACTTTTGGATTTCATTTTTATTTTTAGATCAAGATGGTTTATACATCAGGTGCATAGTTATGAGAAAATTCAAAGCATATCTTGAAACCAGGAGAATGGAATCAATTATAGGAAAGGTTTTATATTATTCAAAAAAATTTCTATCCAAGGTAAAGGAGAGTAGATTGTAAGAACATCAAGGTGGGTCTGAAAAGAATTGAAGAGAGGCAATTGGGTTGTAAACTAAGTGACTAGTTTGTATTGAAGTTAAAGTTTAAGATTTCTTAGAAATATACAGATGGGGTTAGTTTGCAATCCAAAGTAGATTTGAAAGGAGATACGATAGTGAAAGAGGAGAACTGAGATATTCTAAAAGAGAAAAGGAAATGGCTAAAAAAGTACAATATTGGTTGACAAACATAAATACGAAATGAAGTATAATTAAGGCTAGTAACAAAAATAAAATAAAATAAAATAAAAGATATATCAAGTGTTATGTCAATCAGCTCAACATTAAAGATAGAACTACAGAAAGAAATGTAAAGGAAAAAATAAAGACAATAAGGTTTTGACACATTTTTATCTCGTGATCAAAAAAAAGCATGAATCTCTAAAAAGTTACCAACACGTAACTTTTAATATATATTATATATAGTATGCAATCAACATTTTCTTTAGAATACTCACTCTTTTGTTCAACAACAATCAAGAAATCAAGATTTTGAAGAAAAATAACAAATTAAGTAAAAAGTAAAAGTATTAAAAAAGATATTTGACAACCGAGGGATTCGAACCCTCGCCTCCGAAGAGATAGGAACCTTAATCCTACGCCTTAGACCAACTCGGCCAGATTGCCATATTACTTAAAAATTTAATATATTAGATAATCTTGAACAAAATGATATATCATTTTTAAAACCAATCACGTGATAATGAAAAAATAAAAATTGCAATTTTTTTTTGTTACTACATTATCTGGTAGAAATGTATGGGGGGTCCAAACTTCACTTGAACGCCCCGAGCTACTCTTGGAAACAAAAGATA